TATCTAAATTTGTCATGCAGTCAGGATTTGGCACTGAATCAGAATAAATTCTTGAATTATGTTGTACTTTAAAATCTTGAATTTAATTATATCTGCATTCAAATTGGTTCTGTTCTGCTTACCCTAAGGGGGGTTATCGCTGCTCTTAACTGCTAGGCTACATTGGATGGATGCGCAGGGAGTTCTCGCCCAGAACGGAACCACCGCCAATCCAAACTGTATGCTAATTGACAATCGTATTTGATGATAGTGGTCCTGACAGAACTTATATTTCAAAACAGAAGATTCTTTTATTATAGTAATACCTTTTCACTGCCAGTTTAAGCCATGTTTACACTGACAGCGATTAAAGCGGTGAAATATACTGTCGTCTGACTAATATGCATTGACTTCACAGACAATCTGTGTTCTCTTTTGGTATAGGCTCTATGCACGAACCCTGCTGACATGTGTCCGAAAGAATCTCAGTCAGCTTCTTTACTTCCGCAAGTGCGTTCTGCAGGCAAGTGTTTAGCGGCAAAACTTTAATAAAATCCGTTTTCTCAGAAACACAGACAATGATTTTAGAAACGCTGATTCGCTAGTCGGATTTCATACGATATGAGAGAATACTCACCCTCAACGTTGTTGATATAGCTCGAAATATTTCATTTAAATAACTTCTCTTTTTACTCTTGTGTGACAGCTAACTGCCTCACAGTGTTGTTAACATCATTCACGTTAACCGCAGGACGTATTTATAACTACAAGTGTAATTTGACACTATCTCCACCTAACGCAAAACCGGCTTCTGACGCAGCACCGGATGTAACCGGATGTAACTGGGCGTACTGAGACAAACCCGGAAGCGATCGTATACATATTACACTTGCGTCGCTACTCATTTGCATAAATTAAAATTGACAGCTTTTTTTCTAAATCAGCATCTCTCTTTGAAAACAAAAGACTGTCTGATATGGCAGGTTTGCTACCCCATTTTTGTCAGTGTGAACTCCCTTTAGCTTTACTGAGTCATTGAAAATAAGCAAACAAAGTTTTGACACCAGTATTAAATGTCTGTAGTGATTAATAGAGGATGTATACTTGCAGAAAGCAGCATACGAATGGATTAAAAGGCTTTCAGACTTCATTAACTTGTGTCTGTGTTAATGACATAGCTGCAGTCACACAGTAGTGATGACTGGCTCATCTTGCACTACTGCTGGTGAGTGTCATCTACATCTCAGATTAATGAAGCCCGTGTTCAACAGGGTGTTCAAAAACTCAATGTGTGAGCTGTAGGACCATCTGGTACCATCACAACTTTCTTCTTAAACCAAAATATTACCCTCTGTCTACATTTTCATTGGTCTATAATTGTTATTCTTTGTGTAGAACGCAGTGTGGCAACTAAGGCAATTCAAGTCCACTTTTCACTTTATTCAATTCAAGATTCACTTTTCACATTATTATGCACTAATGACTTAATAATCACAGGCTCCGTAAAGCAGCAGGGCGTGCTGCAAAGCCTAAGAGAGAGCCAAGATAATTAAACTTGTATTCAAGATAAATAAATGATGAAACATCTACTGAAAACACAGAGAAAGACAATAATTATGTGAGCGTGTGTGCGTACAAACTTCTGACGAACATTTTCAAGGACATTGGCACAAAATCCTTAATTAACCTGCAATCAAATTAACAAATGTTCATTAGCCATGTTAGAATGCCATAGACTGCTCATTATGAATTCATACGATACGCTATTGTCATTAACATTATCATTCACACACTGTGTACGCATCAGCATTAATGCAGCCTATTGGATGAGTTCAATTGAGTCATAGAGTTGATGTTGGCTAGAATGCAACAAAAAAAAGAGAATTGCAAATGTTTGACAACATGGATTTTTATTAATAAGTGAAGGCTCTATAAATCTAAGAGTGACATGACTATTTACACATTAGATCAAGTTGGTATTTTTGTAACCTTGAAGGGTCAGGAAACAGCACCGTTAAAGCACCTGTTATGTAACAACCAACCATAAATCTGTCCAGAGTTTTAATGTCCTATTATGTGCTACTTGAGTATCTATATATGTAATAAACTTACTTATATCCTCTCATTTTTAATTCCTTGATACCTGCACTCTGCTAGTTTTAGATACACAAAGAATATGAATATTCAAGTTAAAAAGTCATTATGAAGCAGTCAGAAACATATAATGCGCAAGTACGCAAACTCAGATGTGACTGAATATGGACACTGCAAAAAAAATTTTTCTTTTGTTTTCCAAATTACTTGAGACTAATTTTCTGGAAAATATAAATTAAAAAAAATCCTAATTATGTGAGTTTATACTTAAAACAATAACTAATATCTGCCAATTGGGTATGAAAAAAAAAGAAAAAACAGTTTTCTCTTTGAATTTAGTTTATTTTACTTACCCATTGGCAGATTTTTGTCTTGTTTTAAGCTTAAACTCACTTATTTTTTCATGTTTTTTTCAGAAAGCAAGACTTAATATCTTAAGTCCTTCTCATGTATCTTGATTTTGTCTGTGCCTTTAAAATAGACATGACATTATCCAGGTACATAGTTGATCTGAAATAGAAAACTTACTGTAAAATACACTAATTTCAGCCACAGCAACACTGAATACAACACATACTTTTAGTCTGATGCATAAAAAAAAAAAATAACATGTGAAATCAAACTTATTTAACTAAAATCATTTGTGTCCATGTACTTGCGTAGAGTATGCTTTGGCCCTGAATGTATTTTGTGCTCAGAAAACTGCATCCCTCGGTTAAAGAATGGCATGGATTAACTAACAACGGTCAAGGCAAAAAACCCTTCATGGTTTGCGGTGCGTTTCCCTCCAGTTCTTTTCTGCATAGAAGTTTAGGTCTTTTTGTGCTTATTTTTGTATTTTTCACATGGCAGGAACTTGGCTTTAGCGGCAAAGAAGTGAAGAAAATGTGATAGAATGAAGCCATACAAAGACAGCGAGAACAGAACAGTAATAACAGTACTACAAACACAGGCAAGAGCTTGCTGGTGTTCAGCCCATATACGAGAGTAGCACACCTTACACAGAGTGCTTTAGGGTTAGTGTGAGAGCGTTTCCTCTTTCCTCATCAGATCAACACAAACCTGTAGTGAGAGAGAGAGAGAGAGAGACCAGAGTTAATTTATGTGTACAATGCGGGTCATCTTTACACATCTGCTACATGCACATGTTAAATCCATTTTGAAAAATAGGAAAAATGCTAAAATATATATATATATTTTAATTTATTTAAAACATTTATTTATTTCATGTGATGACAAAGATTTTAATATGCTAATTTGGTGTTCAAAAACATTTCTTATTAATATCAATGTTGAAAAAAGTTGTGCTGCTTAATATTTTTGTAAAACCATGATATCATTTATTCAGGATTTTTTTGATCAATAGAAAGCTAAAAAAAACAACATTTTTATTTAAATAGAAATCTTTTCATAACATTATGAATGTCTTCAAATTTGATGCATTCTTGTTAAATAAACATATTAATTTGTACTGACCCTGATTTATTTCTGAATCTGTAATGTTTTTACCTGTGTATTTTTTTTTCAATATAGGCATAAGGCTTTTTAAAATAGGAGAATCATGATGCATTGGTGAATACATGCCTGCAAATACGCTTTCAGAACTAAAAACAGACACCTTTTTTGTCCAAAGGACACTTAGATCTTCGGCTTTAAATTAGTCTTAAAGTTATAGCACTAAAGAATAAAATGTTATTGTGCCTTTAATGCTTTTAATATTGTGATTTTGATGCCCCCTTAGTACTAACATCATAACTACTTCTTAAAATCGTTATGACACGGAAGGCTGGGAATTGATTGGATTGTTGTGGTTTGCTATGGACCCTTTTCACAGACTGATAGAAGTGACTAGTAATTTTTTTTTTTTTTTTTTCAGAATACATTTATAATGCTACACTTTGTATTATATTATCTTGGCGGTTAATAAATAAAAAAAAACCTAAAAACAGAATTATAAATGCTGCAAGGGTGTTTACAATACAAATTTCACATAATCTCTCGATATTTTTCCCCTCCTTCAGGGAGTCGTGGATAAGTTACAAATTACAATTGATTTTTTTTCTTTTGCTATTGGAGCAAATTGGTATTAAAATATTATATTTTTGCTGTAATCTCCCGTTTTATAGACATTTATAGACATTTACCCAACTATGACGACTTTCGTTTCTGAGAAACCAGAAAAGGTGAAAATTGTCCATTGCTGTGATCTTATGTCTGGAGGCTTGTTTCCACCACAGAATAAAACATTTTAAAAGATTATTGCGACTTTTTATCTCATAATTGCGAGTTTACATTTCGCAAATCTGAATTTATTTCTCAGAATTGCGAGATATAAAGTCAGAATTGTGTGTTATAAAGTCAGAATTGCATGATATAAACTTGCAATTGCAAGAAATAAACGCACAATTTTTCTTGCATGTCAGCATTGCGAGTTCATTTCTTGCAATTGCGAGTTTATATCACGCAATTCTGACTTTATAACTCAAATGTTATTAAAAAAACTCAAAATTGTGAGATAAAAAGTTGCGATTACCTTTTTTATTTTTTATTCTGTGACGGAAACAAACTTCCATACTCATATGTGAGTAACAGGTTGAAGACTATCATCAGTGATGAGAAGAGATTATGTTGTAAGAGGAAAGGGGAGATATTTTGATTAAAGATTATGAGGGCACTTAAAAAAAAAAGATGTGCTTAAATAAATCATTTTATAAAGAACACTGCAATGTTCCATAAACATTCACATGGTGAATTTAAGGAAAAAATTAAATTACACTATGACCACTATACAATATTGATGTTTGCAGAACACAATAACAGTATAACAGCAGTGCTCCAGTCACTGTACCTTCACACTCGAACGCCTTCAGAATAGTGGTGTAACTGGGCCCCAGCCAGGAAGTGTAGGTCCCCATAACACGCAGCAGCTTTTTGGTGGAATCGCTGAACAGCACATCAGGCTGCCCATAATTCACCGAGCTGAACAATGAGAATCCTTCAGTGGCATTAGCAAATGCATTCTAGAAGACAGAAACACATACAATAAAATAAAAAAAGAGAAAATGCAATCAAATGGAATTTCTGGAATACTAGAAGCAAAGCAAATCAAAGACAGGAGTGGGTGTTAGTTTGAAATATGTATATGCATATTGTTTCATTTTCAAATATTGGATGTTCTCAACAATCTTTGCTCATATCTTGGCACTGTGGTTTGCTCAGTATGTGTGTGCGTGCGTGCTAGTCCTGCTCTGGGATTTTAGAACGGAGCTCAATGTAGTCTCATCCTTCCCTAATGACACACTGTAATGTGAGACGGTGTCTTGTGAAAATCAATGATCACCACAGGGCTCAGGCTGGATGTATTGAATGCATAAGTGTAATCTGTGTAATACTCCGGACGTTCACAGATACTATTGTTAATATGGGTTTTGGCGGGGTCCGTTTACCGTAATCATACCGTTGACTGCTAAATGTGCTGGAACAATATTTCCAATCAGATTTCCATGCTCTGTATTGTACAAAGGGGATTCTTCTTGTTCTGTTTTTTTTACTGTTTTTATATTATTTCATGGATAATGTCATAAAAAGTGAATCAAACCTGATATCTACAGACTGTGTAACTGTCTGGCAGTACAAATGTCATTATATAATCCGTGGCATGCCGCATTACTACTGTGTGTGTGTGTAGCAGTGTTATTTTTGTATCACTGAGATACTATTATAGGTTTTATTGAATCAGTTTCATTTTTTTGTTTTCATTTTTAATTGCAGTAAAAAATTCTGTTTGATCATTTTTAACCATTTTATTTTAATAGTTTTTATTTCAAACATGCCTATTTAGTTTTAAAAATGGGAAGTGTTGCCTTGCAACTATTTATTTATTTTTCAAATAACAAAAATGTTTTTTTATGGTTTCATTTTTAGTTATAGTATAATGTAACTGTAATAACCCTGGTGTGCAGTACAATGCAGTCCAAAAGTCTTAAGACCACTAGTTCTGATTTAATGCAAAAGTCTCTACATTAAAAATTATTAGCATTAACATTTTCGTCAAATGTTACACATTTAAAGTAGGCAACGTTCTAGAAAATGTAGGCGAAGGTCAAAAACTACTTTTCGACATAACTACTACCACTAAAAGTAGTGCAGAATCTTAAATACTTCTTCATTTCACACAATAATACATTTCTTTGACTTTTTTTCCTAGGCTTAATCCTGGATTTTCTAAGTGTTCTCAGACATTTGGGCTCCAATGTGTGACTGTGTGGCCTTCTCTCCTGACCTGCACACGTTCCAAGAACTTGTAAACGCGGCATTTGTCCTCCAAACGTACTACCACAGCATTGGTTGGCACTTCGGCCAGGTGGCAGCGCTCATGCTGGAACAGGTTCGCTTCACTCCCGTCAGGACACAAGAGCTTCAAGTCTTCCAGCTCCAGGTCCAGCGCCCAGGACTCCTGGTTCTTACCTTACATGAGTATAAGCCAAAGGTTATTTACAGATGGTGAAATTTCTAAAGCAGGAGGCATGATGGTATCCAACATTTGAATTAAACTTTTAAATAAAAAGTAAGGAAGCTTGCAAGTCACGCCAGATTTTTGTAAAAACTATATAGATGATATTAAACCCATTTATAATCCTTGAACTTGGCTAACAGGGTTTATTGAGACTAAAGGGTTTCACAGATCCCAGCAGGCACACAAAGTGATGCATTGTTATGAAATACTGCCCCCCTGTGTCTGTCAGCCAGTGAAACATGATACAGATCATGAAGTAAAGGCTACAATTGTCCTCTTTCACTTCCTTAAAAAAAAAATCCATTTAATAAGAAACCAACTTGAAATCCTTACTGCATCTGGACATTAACCAGCTCTTCTTACGCTCTACATTACTTACCCTGCATGTTGTCGAAGACTGTAGTGTGCTTAACAAAAGCAACATCCCCGAGATTCTCTGCCACACACCTGCATGTTTTAAATAATAATAATAATATATAATAACACGTAAAAATTGTTCAAAAACTATTTTTAGGAAATTGATACTTTTATATAGGATGCGATAAACTGTGAATGACTTTCTGTTCATCCAACAATTTTCAACTAATAATAATAAGAAAAAAAGGTTTCATGAGCCATAAATCAGCAAATGAGTATGATTTCTTAAGGATCTTGTCACACAGAAGACTGGAATAATGTCTTTTTTGCTATTACAGAAAAAAATAATAATAAAAATGATATATTAATGAAATAGAAAACAGTTATTTTATTTATTTTTTTAATTAAAAAAAGTTTCAATGAAAAATAATATTTCACAATATTAATGGTTTTGATTAAATAATTGGAGCCGTGGTGGTGAATTTTCTTTTTAAAAAAGAAAAAAGAGGTCTGTAAGATTTTTTTTCATAAAAAATCTTACTGACCCCAAATTTGTGATTGGGAGTGCATAAATATATGTATACATATATACTGTAGCAGTTTGTTCTCAAGAAACCATTAAGCAATCCAATATTCTGGCTTTACAAAGAATATATTTATATTTTGAATAATGGTTCACTGAGACATATGCATTCTCTCACATCTCTTATTATACAGCACCTAAGAGCTCCAGCCTCCCCGTAGTGCCGTTCCCGAGGGTTGTTGGCGCAGATGTGACGGTCATTCTCGTCACCAATGCAGGCCTCACACAGGTTCCTTGGGTTGTTTCCTTTGGGATCATGTTCTGGGTCCTTCACTCCTGGGACACAGCTATAGCCAAAAAAATCCCCTACCGCTGTATACCACAGGAAGAAGGATATGCCTTTTTAAATTGCTGCCACAAGTTGTAATTAAAATCTTAGTTTGCATGTGAACCAGTTTTATTTATAACACAAAACATTACTTTGTGAATGTATGTGCAGCTCCCGAATAATGAAACCAGATGTTAAGTACTTCGTAAAACAACAGCTTTATTGTTATCTACAGTGTAACTATTAGTTATAATGAAATAAAACACAGTAACATCTCACCATGGGGAAAGTTGCACTGCTCATCCACACTGATCTGTGATGTGTTGACCAGGAAGCCGATTGGGACAGTCCAGCCCACTGTAGTCCGCATCCCTGGGTGACAGGAACTGCGCTCGTGCATCTCCAGCAATGACAGATCACTTGATGATGTCCGTGCCAGAGCAACCACGTAATAATTAATGCCATCTGTGTCAGACACCAAACATCAGTGACATCAAATGAAAACATTTTATCCAGTGTTGGAAGTAATGCATTACAAGTAATGTGAGTTATGTAATCAGATTACTTTTAACAAAGTAACAAAAAAGGAACGCATTACAAGAAATGTACAACAAAATATCTGAGCTGCTTTTTTAAAATAAGTAACGCAAGTTGACTGACAGCCATCCTGTCCCCATGTTGAGAGAAACCGAGAGTAAGGTGCAGACTCAGAGGCAGTGTGTGCGCTGTGTGAAGATGATGGTTTTTGTACTTCTACTGTTCAGCCGTGAATTTGCAATTCCTTCAACCTTAGGCTTATTCATTTCTCTTTTGCTTTGAAAGGGCCTTTACATATAGAACTTTTTTGTTTGTTAGTAAAAAACAAAAAGCAAGCCCAGCCCAGATGTGAGAATAGGTAACGCAAAAGTAACATAGCAGATTACTTTCCATTAAAAGTAACTAAGTAACAGACTTAGTTACTTTTTAGGGAGTAATGCGATATTGCTTTCCCTAACACTGATTTGATCAGATCTTTGACTGGTGTTTAAATACTCACCCACACCATTATAGGACTCTCCCACAGCTACATCTAAGCCGTAGCAAAATCCAGCCGTGTAGATCTCATCAGCATACATAGTTGAGGCGTCTGCAGTGCCGTTCTGTTTGAATCACAGACAAATGATGAATCATTCATGGAAACTTTTCCATCAAAACATGTAAAACATTCTGTAAGACTAAATTTTCAGTTGAGAAGGTGAGTGAGTGCAAGAAAATCAAAAAGGAGGAGCAAAAATTAGGTTCAATCTGAAAACTATAAACCTTGTAATGTTACAGTCATTTTCTTGAATTGATTTGCTTCTTGGGAAACAATTTCCTACAACCTTAATTTGCTTCATGCAGTCCGTTGGACTTCGGCCCCTCACACACAGTAGTTGTCCACGGATGTTCCTGGCTGTGGCATTCCCAGCTAGATCCAAACACTTCTGCTCTTCGACATCAGATACTGTGCACCACCTGACTGCAAAGAAAAAAAAATTAATTCAAAGTGTGAAAACATCAAATATATTTGTTAATTGTTCACACTACCAATCAAACACTGGCATACATTGTTTATTATTCAGATTTTACACATTGAAGACTAACAGTACAGAAAGTCAAAAAGTGTAGGAAAGTGGTGACCAAAAAAATGTACACAGATCAAAACAATTTTATATTTTAGCTTCATCAAACCAAATCAATCTTAATCAACTTAATTAGGAGACACTTGGGATACAAACAGTATTGAATGAGTAACCTTGTATGCTGGATAATTGTCTTACATTTCTCCTTTTTTCATGAATAAATAATATTTATTTTTATGAATTGATTAAAATAACTAATAATAATAATATATTCAAATGAATAGGTAGGCACGATTTCGTACAAAAATACTGTCAAGCATTTAAGCATACATGTTTAGATCAAAAGGTGTGAAACAAAAGTTTAGTTAAGTTTGTCCAAAACCTTTTCATAATCATTGTTACATGAAGTCAATCCAATCCAAACAAGATGCTACATCCAGCCATGTCATAACAAGATCAGAAGAATGAGAACATGTAAATATAGTACTTACTAATGTTATTTTCAGTGGACATAGAAACCAGAACAAACAGGAACAGAACCACTGCAAGGTGTCCTCCAGGATGATCCATGCTGCCTATGAACAGTAACCTTCCAAATGGGCTCAGATTCACAGGGTGCTGTGGAAAGTAAAACTAAAAAAAAAGGGAAAAGACAGGAAAAAAGGCTTGGGGCTCATATTGCTCCCTTTTTAGGGGACCAAGAATTCTCAGAAACCAAGAGGGGAGGGAAAACTTTCCATTAGGTCTTTACTGAACTTTCTCTGCTTTTTTTTTTTCTTCAGACCTAACGTTGTTAGATTATTTTCCACTTATCCGATCATGATGGGCATCTAGTGTTTCCTCCCTTAACCAATGGGACCTCATGGCATGCAAGCTCTTGCACACTTCACTGCACCTGGCACCGGGCAGGTCAGATCATTTCTGAGGTTATAATTAAGTAAGATACAATAGCTTTTTGTGGACAGCTTCTAAAGCCCCTCAAGATTAAACCAAAGGTCCTAAACTAGCCAAGTTTGATTCGAGATATGGATGGAGGGGCAACAGGAGGCTCTTTTGTGCCACTATGCAGTTGAGGAAGCATATAGGCCACTTGATACCTTCTCTGCATCCTAATTCTCATGTCACTTTCTCCATAATCAATGCTTTATTGAAGGAGACACGAGTCAGCTAAGAGATAGGAGACATCATTTCAGAGCCAAAAACAAACCTATAAAGGTACACATACACTGATGTCCACATGTGGCCAAAACATTACAAAATCCTTGTTAATAAATGCAAGAAAACAAAATTCTTAAGTACATATATATATTTTTTTATTTTCTGCAATATAGTGCAATATTTTATCAGTAAAGTCAGACTTCAAAGTGTTTACTAACTTCAGAATGCTATATTCAGTAACTAAATATATCCCTATATTTTTCTTATTGTTGCATGCCATGGGGGGAAAAAAAGCAAAAGTGCATTTTCCTCAGAGGTTCCACACAACATTGACCCCCATGCCATAAATGCCCCCAAAATTGCACTGCAATGATTATACATGAAAAATCTATGATATTGAGAGGAACGGAATTGCCACTTGAGGGGCGTCAGACGCCTTATCTCCCTGCCCTTTGGTGTCCCTGACTCCATATCCCTTTTTCCCCATATAGACTATGACACGTCCATTAATCAACAAGCTATTTTAGAGAAAAAATTTCAGGCCACTGGCTCCTTGACTATCATGGCAAGGACATTTGCTTTATTTAAGCATATGTGTGTCTCTTTAACAGATTGTAAATAAATAGTAATAAAAATGAATTATCATACACGTTTAGCTAAACTGATAGGCCTAAATGGAATTGATGGGCAGTATAAACTTATGTGATGTCAGACCAGTATATTGCCTTAATGCTATACTAATTATATATTGCCTTATGCTATCCTAATGTTTGTCTTGGAAAGAAGCATCAAGAGATGAAAATATTGTAAAATAGATTGAATTCATCACTAGCTCACAGACAATCAAAAACGTCATTTTTATTAATCAAAGAGAAAATACAGCACTAAACACTAAACTAGTACTAAACAGATGTTTGTAGGCGAACTTAATGTCTTCTTTCGTGAGGCTGAGCCAAACTGGTTTGTTTAAAAGTTGTGTGGGACAGAAATGTGTCGTACAAAATAATCAAATGCTGTTTTGTGCTTCCAGATACTCACATTCGGCGGACTGTGGTATCCCACAATGCTCTCGCGCGTCAGTTGTTTATGGTGACGTCACGGCGCAGTCTTTTCAGTCTCTCTGGGTGGCGGCAGACAGTCTGTCTGCGCTTAAAACACGACTTCGAATAAAACAGTAAAAACACGGAATGTTAACACAAACATGAATCTGCATCGCAGCTGAAGGTAAAAGCGATCTTCAACGTCTCTTTGAATTGATGGAAATAAATGCAGCGAATAAATAATGGTCGCTGTTAGCACAGTTAGCACAACTGCTGCAAACAGGCCGTTTGTTAGATATAACGTTAGTAATAATACAGCCGTTGTCATGATATGCGACAGCCTCTGGTTTTCCGAGTTATTATATATTTTTTTGTTGATGTTTGTGCGTGGATCGTTGCTGTAGGACATCTGTGATAATAATGTAACGTTAGCGCATTGTATCTGTTGAAGCAAATCTGTAGTGTTATTGTCGCCCACCTTCCTTATGTAAATCATCTTTTTGTATAAAAGGTTTCCATTAACAATTATGGGTGTAATAGCATTATATGTCAGTCTTCTTGATTGTTTTGTTGCATCTAAGACTCTTTTTGATCGTGACACTGAGAATAAAGGCTCGCTGCTGGTGTTCTCTGAAAAGCCTCCCACGATCGCTGAAATCTGGAAATACCAGTGCGTGTTAAAACTGATGACCAGGTCTATGCTATTCTTAACTATTACACTTGCTAGAAGTGTAACGTGTACAAACTGTGAAATCATATAACACTATGTAATATGATCCAGGTTGAAAGCTTCCGAGTGTTGTATTCAATAACTTAGAATATTGTGAAAGCGTTTGGAGAAAATTGGAGAATTTTTCAGATTTCTTCACTATTTCAAGGTCTCTAATATAAGTAAAATGTAATTTATCATGTGAACTACTTTGTAGACAGTCGGGGGTTTATTCCATTGTAACACAATATGCTGCTGTCATTAAAGTGGAAGAGAAATAATTAATTCGAATTTTCTCTAAAATTCTTATGCTGGAAATCACATTTTTTAAATGGGTAAAAAACAATTATATTACACCAGAAAATGCAAAACAGAAGCATTTAGGGATCCTATGTCTTTGTAAAACAATGGGTAGCAGCTCTCTTACTATCAGTGTGCAGAGACTCCCAGGCTCCCTCTTATCCTGTCACTCACTCCTTCCTGAAGAAATGACCATGGAAAATTCACTGATGTGGGATGAAAAGAAAAAAAGTTGAACATGTTGCTTTTGCTTCAATCTTTTTAGGATCCAATGGGAAGACAGAGTCACATACTGAAAGGCAGTGTTGAGAGTCACCTGAGGAGTCATACAAGTAAGCCAGTCCTTGTCACTGTAAAATTGCATTTTGGTCATTTTGAATTACTTTTTTTTTTTTGTAAGGATTAAAGAGGCATTAGATAAAATGATGCAACAGGGACTCATAGTCTATAATAAATCATGACTCCCTGATTTGTGTCCTTGAATATTACACCGTAATGGTGAGTCCTACACCCCCAAAATACTTGTTCATTTCTGCCTCTCCTAATATGCTCCTCCACTGTCTTTGATGTCGTTCCATAATGGGCATCTCTCTCTCTCTGCTCGGTTGGCATGGAGACAGACCCCTGTCTGAACACACACACACACATACACAGGAGAGAGAGAGGCAGAGCACAGCTGCACTCTTTAAAAAATGTAATTAAGTCATCATCTTTGTGGTGTGTGTTTTCTTTAATTGGTGATTGATTCTGCCCCACTGTTTTGTAAAACTTTTATTTAAACTGGACGGGTGATGTGTGGTGAGTCTTGGTTTAAATGTGCATTTGTAACACCTTGCTTTCCTTTCAGTGCAGTGAACCAAATGGGGCATTGCAGTACCCGAATCATCGTCCTTTTCCTGCTTCAATTCTTACGGACATCAGCTAAAGGTAAAGACCTGGCAAACATAAATCCTCTTTTCCCCTCCTTTCCTTCATTTTTTCCTTTTTACGTTTTCATTAGTATTATTATTATAATGAATGATATATTTCAAATATTACCAATTATCTTAAAAAAAAGTTATTTATTTATTTTATGTGATGTTTAGTGGTGGGTAAATCTTAAAGTCCGCCTGTGGTGAAAATCAAGCTTTTAGTGTTGTTTATATGTCTATTTGGTGTTTTTAATATGCTCTAAGACAAACACCTTTGCTGAGTATTTTCTCCTTAAAACAGCAGTGAACCAAAGACAGTCTCAAAAACGCAGTTTGAAATCGCTGGTGTTTCTGATGTCACAAACTACCTTGTAACCAATCATGTCAACGAGTGCATCTTTGAGCTGGTGTGAGTGAGTGGAGGCGGGGCTAATTTGAATATTCATAGAACTGTGAATACTATATGAGGCAAGGGTGTCGAGTTACATTCAAGCTATTTTTCAAGGCATGAAGAATTGTTTTCTTTACAAAAAAAAAAACATAAATATGTCATTTTGGTGTTTTAAGGGATACGATGATTGACTACAGGGGGACTTTAATTGCTAACTTTCAAACATGAACATACAGATATGTTTATGTACATCTCCATTCAGAATGTTGGGACAAGTTTGTTAGTGTTGTTTTTTTTTCCTCAGCAAAAATACATGATTGAAAATGTCAGTAAAGACAAAATTGTAATGTTACAAAATATCTCTATTTCAAATAAATGCTGGTCTTTTGAACTTTCCACGAATATATGAAGCAGCACAACCGTTTTCAAATGTGATAAGAAATTGGCTGCTGAAAATTCAGCTTTTTCACCATCCGCAGGAATAAGTGTTAAAATCGTACAGACCTCAAACTTGTTTATATTATCATGTCATTATGTTAAGTGCTGCTAAATGTCTAAAGCTAAACTCTACTCAAAAATGTAGTACTTAGTACTATTTATTTACTAGTTAGTATTTCATAGTTTCAGTGAACAGTTTTTGGTACAAACTGACAACTAGTTGGTTCTCTACGAACAAATGAATTGACAATGAATTGAAAAATGAGAAATCTGTCATCATTCACTCACCCTAATGTCATTCAAAAACTTGTATGACTTTGTTGCTTCTGTGGAACAAACATTTTTGGGAAAGGTCTTTAAAGGCCATACAGGTTTTGAGGGAAAGTAAATAATGACGGAATTTTTATTTTGAGTAAACTTTCCCTTTAATGAATGGAGCTGGCAATGTCAACCATCCATGTGCACAAATGTGCATTAATTCATAGTGAATTCATTCATAGTGAAACTTTTAGCCACAGGACTGTAGGAATGGTGTACTACCTAGTAGTTGTACTTTCATTCGGTGTCAGTGTCCTCTCCTCTCGGGCTCTATTAGCGTGTCTCACGACAGGCATAAAACATGAATGCTGGGTTAATTGATCTGTGTCAATAGCCGCGTTTCCACTGCCGGGCCAGGGCCGGGCCGTGCTAGTGCGTGCCAGGGCCAGTCGCGTTTCCACTGTCACTTCCGGGGCTTGATCGGGGCTTCCTCAGGGCCAACGGCCAGGATTTCTGGCCCGTCGAATACCTTGGGCCAGAGGGGGCCAGCTCGGGCTAGAGGCGTGCTCAAGGTAAAAGGCGGAGTTTATCGGTGGTATGGAACGTTATGATCTGAAGCAAGATGCACATAGGGATGTCCATGTTTAACCGATTAACCGTTTAAAATTGCATAACATTTTAATTTGAACGTATAGGCCTATGCCAAATGCTGCGCAACAATATATAGGCTAGCTATATCGACGAATTTTCAGACATTTGTTTGATTTTTTTTGCCCCTTAAACATTTAAAATATTTGACAAATTAATATGAAAAAAATATATATTTTACTGGTTTTCTGAGGCCAAATTAGAACCTGGAAATGATATTTTCCCCGCAGTGCTGAATGAGAAGAGACGTAACCACAGCCTACAGAAAGGGGATTTATTGGTGATTTATAGGCTATAATAAATGTGTCTGATAATAAAATAATATAAAATAACGAGGCATTAATTGTTTATTAATAAACTATTGTTTTCTAAATGATTTTCGGCTAAAAACATATCTCCATCTCCGGATGCACATTTAGAGAGAAATTAAGCAAACATAGAAGATAGTGGCTTTCGATTCGAATTTGTTCGTTTTAAATTGGACATTTAAAGCTTTAATCTACAAAGGATATAACCCCTGTAGACTAAAGTTTTAAATGTCCAAATTAAAACGAACAAATTCGAATGCGGTGGCTGTTTCAGGTCTCGCGCTTCAGTTCACGGAGATCATGAAGCGCGCCTTGATTAATTGTTAAAGCACAACGTTTTCTTGTTATAAATAAATGTATTTGCGAATAATGTATTATTATTTTCTGTATGACCAGAAATTAAAGAGTATTTTAAGTTGTTTCCACTAAAAGAAATGCAATGAAACTGTTCACATGGGCGTCTCGCAGCCATCAGTGCGTGCTCCACACACACTGATATGCGCTGATATTTGTCAAAAATATTGTGTTTATTTGTGCTCTGTTCCTTTTTGGATAAAGGCGTCTTCTACATATGCAGCCTAATAAAATGTTACAATAATGATGATGATGGTTATTATTATTATTATTTGCAGACACGGAGTTTTTGTGAAATGGACGTTTTGCTTATTTTCAATTGGCAATTTCAGTTTGAAGGGTGATGAAAATGCGGCTTTAACTGCTCCGTACTTGCTGCGTTTTATTTCTATAAATTAATTTCGTTTCAAATGGGGTCCAATCAGTTATTAAAGGTGTTAAAAATTTACTCTGTATCTCGAGGTTGCGGCGCGCACACTATGCACCGAGTATTAACCGATGGGCCTCGGTTAACGATTAATGAATAACTTGAAAACGTGCCCGCAGCCCTACTTGTTATATCGCGCAAAAAATCGCTGCTTGAAATGGAGAATCGCCTGTACTGGTCTCGGGACACTATTGCAGCCACTACGGCAGGTGAGTTAATGCTATCTTCCTAATTTAAAAAATAAATTAATTCATAATACCCGCTGAAATGGGTTGGGTTTTATGACGTTTGATCCTGAAAGGCGTGTTAGGGGTGGGGTCTGGGGCAGCGCTGTGGGGCTACTGGCCCGGCAGTGGAAACGCAAGCCCGGTGCTTGAGGCCCGAGGCCACTAGCTCGGCCCGGCTCGCTGTTAGCTCTGGCCCAGCCCTAGCCCGGCAGTGGAAACGCGGCTACTGATGCTCTCTGGCCTTTATCCTGTGTAGTCAATTTGTTAAGTCGACAGTTCAGTGTCACAGGAAATGAAGGCATGGAAAAGGGAAGAAAACAGTCTCCGTTATCAAGCACAAAGAGTCTCGCCTGTGAGGACTGGCGTCATGCTGCTCTTCCTTAATTAATTTCATTGTTCCCAGAGTTTTCGCAGCTGGGGATAACTGGCTAAAGACTGGGTCCCTTTTTTCCTTCATTTTTCCTACGTCATTTTCTGTTTTCTGTCTCTCTCCAGATGTCTCCATTGACTGCATGTGTGTCGGCAGTGACTGCAATGAGCAGCAGTGTACCGGAGACCAGTGTTACACCTCTGTTATCATTATCAACGATGTGACGACGTTCAAACGTGGCTGCCTGGTTGGGCCAGAGAGCAAGAAAATGACCTGCTCTCCAAATCCCTCTACTAGTCACATCGTAGAATGCTGCTCCCAACAAATGTGCAACGCCAACGTCTCGAAAGACACCCTTCTACGACTACTGCTGACAAGTAAGTCAATTCATTCAAATTCTTGAGAAACACGATTTGTAATCGGCAACCTGTAGGAGATTTGAATACCACTTTTGCTGTGCTACCTGCCCTGCGATTTCACTGACCATCAAATTAAATAAGACAATTGTTTGTTAGTTTTGATTATTATTATTTTGTATAGTTTAGTTGTAGTTGTTTAATTATAGCTAAGCAACTAATAAATAATAATTGGTCTCAAATATGAATTATTTTTAATTTAATAGATGTTAAATTGTAAATCCATTTGTTTGTGTTTCTGAAAAGGTCCAGAATCAGAAAAGGCTGTGCATTACGGTGTGGAGATGTTGGTTCTCTTTGTGTTGGGCCCGTTTGTGGTTCTGGGTTTGCTGTCTGTGCTGGCTTTGCTGGTGTGCCGTAGACTCCATCATGGGCGTCTGGAGAGACTGCATGAGTTTGACACTGAGCAGGGGGCCATCGACGGTCTTATTGCATCTAACGTTGGAGACAGCACACTTGCGGTACTTTAACATTATACACTAGAACTGTTTCTGAAATATATATTACATGTTAGATGTATAGATGTTACTTTTATTTGGTTAGTGAACAATTCTAATGGAAAACTTCATTCATGAGTCCCTTGATGTTCACTTCAAAAGTTTGGGCTGCAAGAATGCATTTATTTTAATAAAACTGTCAAAACAGTAATATTGTGAAATATTTTTACAATTTAAACTGTTTTCTATTTTAATATTATTCATTCATGCGATGGCAAGGCTGAATTTTTAGCATCATTACTCGAGTCTTCATTAGCTATGTTTCCATCCAAAGTTGCAAATTTAAATTATGTGCAAAATTGGAATATCGCATAAAACATTCGCGAATAAATTACTGTTTTCATCCATTGAGTCGAAGAGAACAAATTCATCACTTCCTGATAAACTGAGAAAGAAATGTAGGATAAGCCACTGTATATAATAATGAATGACTTGCATCTCAGAGCTTGCAGACGAAAAGAAGTAAATATGTTATCTTACTGTAGGAGGCAGATGCTGTTGTTTTGGGAATGCAGTCGTGTAAGGGAGTTCTAGGAGGTAATTATACCGAACCTGCTCAGGCATTACAGAACAACCAAAAAAGCATTTCATCGGCTTGCTGGTTAATGAGCGTATCCGTTTTTTAATGCGCATTTTTTTTATTTATGTGGATCTTGGCATTTCCATCCACCGTTTGTTGCAAAATATGCTTAAAAATAGATAGATGGAAACATAGCCAATGTCAAACGATCCTTCAGAAATCGTTCTAATATTCTGATTTGATGCTCAAGAAACATTTATTATTAGCAATGCTAAAAACGATTTAGTTATTTTGTCTTTGATTAATAGAAAGTTCAGAAGAACAGCGTTTATTTGAAATATAAATGTTTTTGTAACAATGGAAAAGTCTACACTGTCACTTTTGATCAATTTAATGGAGCAGTGTTGAATAAAAGTATTCATTTCATTAAAAAACAAAAAATCGTACTGACCCTGAACGTTTGATTAGTAGCGCATATTGCAGTGGTTTAGCTAAACTTGTTCTGCATTCATTCTTTTAAATGTTAGATATTGACTTTTTGTTTTCTAGGACCTGATGGATCACTCTTGCACCTCAGGCAGTGGTTCAGGACTGCCCTTCCTGGTGCAGAGGACAGTTGCACGGCAGATCAGCCTGGTAGAATGTGTTGGTAAGGGTCATTGGGTTTTTGGGGCCTTTGCATAGATTACACAATTCTGTAATCTCTGTCTAGACAAATGTGCCCTAAATTAAGGACAGTGATGTGTGTGATTATGATTTTTTTTTTTTTTTTATGTTCTCAGGTAAGGGGCGGTATGGTGAGGTGTGGAGAGGTCAGTGGCAAGGAGAGAATGTAGCCGTGAAGATCTTCTCCTCCAGAGATGAGAAGTCATGGTTTAGAGAGACCGAAATATACAACACTGTTCTACTACGACATGATAATATATTAGGTGAGTCAGTCAGACATATTGGTTTCTGACTCATAAAGAGAGAGTAGCATCTTTTCAAATAATGTTATTTAATAACTGTTTTCTTTGCAGGATTCATGGCTTCTGACATGACCTCCCGAAACTCTAGCACTCAGCTGTGGCTCATCACACACTATCACGAGAATGGCTCTCTCTATGACTACCTGCAGCGTGTTGCCGTGGAGATGGCAGATGGACTGCACATGGCCGCGTCGGTAGCCAGCGGGCTGGTGCACCTGCACACGGAGATCTTTGGCACTGAAGGCAAACCGGCCATCGCTCACAGAGACCTGAAGAGCAAGAACATACTGGTGAAGAAAGATCTGCAGTGCTGCATCGCTGACTTGGGTAATATCTGCTGTTTTTTTTGTTTTGTTTTTTACCCTGTACACATAATACTTTTTTATTTCTTTTTCAAATTAATTTTCTGTGTAGTAACTGACCTAACCAAGGCTGTGCGGACAGGAAAAAACATTTATTTAATAACCAATACAACTTACAGTTATACTAACTTATTCTTTTTTTCATCATCAATCAATCCTGCTTCCAGAACATGTTTTGTCTTACCCTGATTCACTATTGTAAGCCTATTATAAGGCCGAAGCGTTTTTAGCCAGCTTGAAAACGCTAGACGCTCTGCTGATGACGCCGTGCTTTGGGCGCTTGAGAGCGTTTTGGCAGCGCAGTGTTTTTTCCGTTGAGACGTTTCATTGCTATGATACAGAATATATGCAGCAGTTTGAATGTTGTGAAAGTTGGTCGGCGTGGTATTAGTCCCCCCCCTCCTCCACTGTGATTGGACGGCTGGGTAAAAAGTGACAGTGATGAGCATTTTTCAACTCCCAGCGAGGCGCTCGGCACTTCAGCGTGAAAAAAAAAACGCTCAGCGCCTCGGTACGCTCATGGCGTTTAAAAAACGCGGCGCTCCCATTGAAAACATACGCCAGGTGCGTGGAAAAACGCTTTGGTGGACACACGGCCTTAGGCAGTTTTTTACTGGTCGCTGGGAGTTGAAAAATAATATTATATAGTGTTATATAATATATACAATACAGTATACAATGTTATAAGTGTTTTATATAGACCTGACAGGATGGTTTTCGTTGGAAATTGCGTAATATTATGAAATTTATGAAGTTAATCTAATCGAATGCTTTTTGTTTGGGGTCGATAATAAGTCTCTTAGGGTCAACAAGATTCTATGTATTTTAACAAAACAGAAATATTGTGAAATATTATAAATAAACTTTTTAAAATAGAAATCTTTCTTAATGAAGTCTTTACTGTCACTTTTCATCAATTTAATTCATCCTTGCGGAATTAAATGATTTTTTTTTTTTTTTTTTTTACTGAACAAACTTTTGAACTGTAGTGTATAGAAGTAGTTTTACATATAGACACACTGGGGATTTACAAATTCACTCCCTTCCTTGTATCTTTTTATAGGTCTGGCAGTAACGCACACGCAGTCTGATAATCAGCTGGATGTGGGGAATAATCCTAAAGTAGGAACCAAGCGCTACATGGCACCGGAGGTTTTAGATGAGACCATTCAGACAGACTGTTTTGATGCCTATAAGAGGGTGGACATCTGGGCCTTTGGTTTGGTGCTGTGGGAGATCGCTCGCAGAACCATCAGTAACGGTCAGCTCACTGGACACTTAGAAATATCTCAATATATTTAGTCTGTATTTAAGGGCAATACAGTTATTGCCTACATCTGTTCAGACATTTGCACAAATGAATGCTCACTGACTGTTTCATCTACTGTTATCCTGTAGGAATCGTAGAGGAATACAAGCCACCTTTCTATGACCTGGTGCCTAATGACCCCAGCTTTGACGACATGAGGAAAGTGGTTTGTGTGGAGCAGCAAAGGCCGTTCATTCCCAACCGCTGGTTTTCAGATCCTGTAAGTACTGAGGAGACATCTCTGTGTCCCTGCTCACTAGTCTGCTCTTACAGCCTCATTGTAAACTATTCAAACTACAACCTTCCAGCTTAAAAATTTAAATAGAGTTGTCGAAAGTTTAGTGGTGGTGATGTTGAAGCCATGCAACCGTGTTGTAGTTCGTTTATAGCCTTATAACTTTAGCTTGCAATCATCATAAACTTTTGTTGGTCACAGAGCTTATTTTCTGTAATAATCTTAAAGCCAGTTTGAAAGGCATATTGGCTTTATGTCGAGGGAATCAGGGTGACTCTAACCTCCGGGTTGACCTACAAAAGTACGTTTTCTCTATAGAAGACTATCTTTTGGCTAATAATAAGTAGAAAAACATATTCATAAAGAAACTAAAATTATGCTTCTAAAACATTGGTTCCTCACCATGTTCTGAAAACAAGTGCTTGTTTGTGATCACAGACCCTGTCTGCTCTGGTGAAGCTGATGAAAGAGTGCTGGTACCAGAACCCATCGGCTCGACTCACCGCCCTGCGCATTAAAAAGACTCTGGATAAAATCCACAGCTCACTGGAGAAGGGCAAAATCGACTGCTGAGAAGAACTACTGACCGCTCATTAAACAGACACCGCGTGTATCCAGACCATTGGATTCGAGCGCTGGCATCTGTCCCAATCCTAACATTCTGTGTATTCGCTTTTTTCTTCCTGTCCATTGGCCTAAAAACATTTTCTAGAGAATTCTGCTCTTTTATGGATCGGTTTTCCCCACTGAACCCGGTGGGGCTCCTTTTTCCCCTCAAGAAGCAACATAAATAAGAGATGCACAGTCAAAATATAGACACGATCCAACAGGCCTTGAATTGAACCTTCTATCATGGATTTTTTTTTTTTTTTTTTTACACAATCACGTTGTCTATTTAACCATTGGCAAACTTTTAAGATTTGTACTTTTCGTAAAATCGAAGAGGACAGATTCACCTGCTGAAATGCAATCATTACCCATAGTGTGTGTGTGTGTATGTGTGTGCATGATTCTTATTACAACCAGAATAACTTTATAGCTGTAATGTCACTTGCTTTTAGAAATCTGATGGTTTTTGAGCTTTTAAAAGGTCCCAATAATTCTTGTAGATAAGTTAGGCAAAACTCAGTCACAGTTTTTGAATTTGCTACAGTGGACTTGTGTTATGAAGCTCTGTACAGTAGAGAGCTACAGACTGTCTTTAATTAGGCTTATTTAGTAATCAGACTTGGTTAAAGGTTTAGTTCAATCAAAATATAAAAAATCTGTCATTATTCATGTTATGTAAAACCCGAATTTACTTGACCAGGAACTGTCGAAAGTGACGTAAAAGCTGTATGGGTTTGTAAAGACAAAGGGGTGGGTAAATGATGACAGAATTAAGAACCATCCCTTTAATTCCCAGTCTGGTTATTCTCATAGCATCCCATGAGGGCTTCCTTTGACAAGGCCTTTCTGACCTGTTGCCTCTATGCCTGCCTGACAAAAAAGCCATTGTAGCACATCATAGTGCTTTTTTTGTAGCTGTTTGTCTTTCTCTTTGCCCTCACCGGCATGCATACTTGATGTTTTTTAACTGACAATCAGCCGCTGTCCAGTAGGCCTGAATTATTTGCTATTGTTGTGTACAAAACGCTACTTACGAGTGTTCAAGCTGACGTGTCAACACACTAACAGAGCTATTCAGTCATAAACAGACTGTGGTTTTGTGAATTTGTTTATCCTCACGCTTTTTGACACTTTTGTATCAGTTTTCAACATGCCACATAAACCGAGACTTTTAAAACTATTTAAAAGTGCGGCGTCACTCTAATATAGGATTTATGAGGTTTAACAAGGAAAAAACTATCGTTACATCTCAAGTCGAAAAGGTTTGTGTACGTTGCTTATGGATTAGTTTGAGTTGAGTGAAGTTGTGACGTTTTTTTTTTTTTTAGGAATTTGAAGATGCCGTCATGACACGGCTGTGTAGCGCTCAACACTGGTCACTTTTGCTCTCCCATAAATGGCTGAACGTTTACATATTTGTGTTCTACAGGGGAATGATGTAAGGAACTTGGCTACAGGAATTGTTGAATTTTGAACTGTGAATATGTTATAATGAAGAACCCATATGTATGATGTTACTGGAATATAAAATGCAAGACACAGTTATGAATTAAAACAACTGCTCTTTTCATTGGTTACAACAGTGGAATGGTCTTTCTTTGTCATGTCCTTGTGCTTAACAAAAGGTTGTCCATGTTGTAACAACGCTTTCTTTTTAAGCATACATTTCGGGAATCGTGATGCACATTATCATGCATCCGTCTTACGATTTCCTGATCTAAAGCTAAATGACGCATTAGTAGTTTGCCATTGTCTGACTCTGCTGGGAAATGACCTGTTTATCTGTGGCCATGTTTACAGGAGGTCTGGAGCCTCTGTTGGATAACCAGTGCTTTCATGGCTGGTAGTAAACGGGCTGAAGCTAAAGAGAACGTACATGCCAACTCTTCCACAGATGCTAGATCTTTAGTAGCTGTCTTTAAAAAAAAAAAATTGCTGCTGAGATGTAGTTCCATTGCTTTCTTCCAGAAACACAGTTTTCCTGTTGAACTGGAAAGGAATTAAATTTGGGTTGCACTGTATTTTAAGCCAGGTGACATTACATTTTACTTACTCAAATAAGTACTGAGTAATATTAATAAATTACGTGTACTTTCTATAGAGTTACGTTTGGGGTTAGTTACTTGTAATTATGCATAATTTACTGTTGTTGTTGTTGTTGTTATAAGTACATTTAGTAACGTGTAACTGCCACCTTAAAATAAAGTGTTACCTTCATTTGTTTTCAATTTAGCACAACGGACAGATGATTTATGAATTTATTTGTATTTGATGGGGAAGACTGCTCTGTTTTCATGCCAGTAAAGAGACATCAGCCATTGTTAACCAAAATATTCTTTTGTCTAAATGAATTTAACTTTTTGTTGGTGAGGAACATTAGACAAAATCTGATGTATTTACATGATAAAAAAATCAAATAAAATCTCATGCTGGGCTTACATTTGAAGAATTAAGTGCTGATTTCATTTTTTGTCTCCAGCTGCATTTTTATAGATGGCCATGTGGCTCAGTAGCTTTTAATGTCTAAAAACTGTTAAGGGCATCATTTTTGCACCATCAAACAACATCATATGCCAGTCAACAAACAGGTTATACTGCTATACCAAATATATAATATATATAACCCTCATTGGTTAAGCTGTTTTCCGAATTACACATCGTTTGAGTTACTTTGGTCTATTTTCCTAAAAATAGCCATGCCAGATTGTAGTTTCCACCGTGATTTGAATAACAATTGTTATGTCTATTGTCAGCATTGCTAAACTTTAGTAAAGTTATTTTAAAACAGTGTAAAAACAATAACAGCATTTAAGGTCTCTCTACCTGATCAATGGAGTTTCATCAGATGTCCGTCTTCGCGTTGATTAGGCGATCACCACCTGGCTGTCATGAGTCTACAGATTCATCCGCGCATATGCAGAGTCGGAGCACCACTCGTGACCAAAACAATGTTCCTCCGCAAGTAACTTGTAGTTTTATGCTTCAACCACTAGAGGGCCAAAAGTTACAGTGTAGTTTTAAAGCATCACTTCTAAAACACAACGCTGAACAAAATAAATACTTCGATTTTAATCTATGATGGTCCATTCAGCAAAAAATAATTTTACAATAACACAGTGGTAAAATAAGAACAGTAATTCTTCATAGAAATCATGAATACCATCAAACTATTAGCGTATGTTGTCTGGCAGCATTTTGTAAGGGTTGAGAATGCCTTTAGGATCCAGCATGGCTTTAATGCTGCCCATGAGGGCGACTGTCTCTGAGGATTTACTGTAGTAAATATAGTTTCTCTTCTTCAGACCCAAGCCATGCTCGGCACTGATGCTGCCTTTCCATTTGGATGTCCACTCGTACACATACGGCTCAATGGCAGCCAGTAGAGCGGGGTCTTTAGAGGGGGATGTGATGTTCAGATGAAGATTTCCATCACCTGAAATGAAAAAAAAAGAAGAAGAAAACCAAGATATGAATTATGGTCGAGGTTTGAAGGGTCTGAACCCACTGTTTAAGGCTTTGTGCCATAAGTTCACTATTGTAGAATTGTGTTATGTTTTTGAATTAAGTCTCTTATGCTCACCTAGGCTTGATCAACAAATGTAAAAAAAAAAAAAAATGTTCTAAAATCAGATTAAAATATCAAACATGTTAGATGACTAGATGGAAATCAGAGTCAGCGCACGATTTTCATTACAGAATTTTCTGTGACTGCAGACTTGCTCTGACTTTAGCAAATCATAGAAAAGTCAAGTCAAGTCTAGTAGTCTATTCCAGCTTTAAACACAGTATAGCAATTATTGTAAGGAAGAAAAAAAAAAGTTAACCATACCAACATGTCCATAACCGACAACATTCTTGGTCATGTCTCCAAGGTGCCCCCTCATATCTTGAACTAAATCGTAGATCTTTTCCACAGGGAGGGAGATGTCGTATTTGTAAGTGTAGCCCTCGTGTGTCAGAGCTTCTGTGACTCTCTCCCTCAAAGACCACAAAGCCTGTATATAACACAAGACCTTTAGCGCTAGACAGAACAATCGTCACAGAAAAATGTTGAATTTTGTCAATCGATCCACTACACAAGTGAGCAGAGTGCCTTGATTTTTGTCGCCTCGGTCGCAACCGTCCCATCTGTCACCAGAGATGATGTCATGACCTCCTCAAGGAAGTTGTGTAGTTTTTCTTCATCATGGGTTGCGTTGGATCCAGCGGTCTCGATGACAATGTAAAAGGGACTTTCTGCAACACAATCATTCTACTTTAAAACATTCCAAAAAACAAAATACAAATGAAAAATCTTTCATTCCAAAATTCCAAAATCTTTCAAAAAAAAATCATTCATAATTTTAAAGTCCACCTGAAAAACCATTCTATTTGCTCTAAATGCATGTTTAAATTTAGCTTTTAAGGGACAGTTCACCCAAAAATGAAAATTCTGAAATGAAATGTCGTTTTTAAGACTTTCGTTCATTCTTTGGAACACAAATGAAGATCTTTTTGATGAAATCTGAGAGCTTTCTGCCCCTCCATTGACAGTTACACAACTACCACTTTGACGCCTCAAAAAGTTCATAAGGAGATCGTAAAACTAATATGAATTGAGTGGTTTAGTCCAAATATTCTGAACAGACACGATCGCTTTATATGATGAACAGATTGAATTTAGGCTTTTACTCACATTTAAACATTTATCAACTCACACATCAGTTGTGGTAAATGGAAGCTCAAGCATATCAGCTTGACGTGGGAGAACCAATGAGGTTCATTCTCGTGTTACACCACACGTTTCAGCTTCAGCAAGAACTAATCAGGTTTATGTTCACTGATCAATGTTTAAATGTAATAAAAGTCTAAATTCAATCTGGTCATCATTTAAAGTGATTGAGTCTCTTCAGAAAATATTTCACTAAACCGCTCAATTCATACGTATTAGTTTTACGATCTCTTTATGAACTTTTTGAAACGTCAAAGTGGTAGTTGTGTAGCGGTCAGTGGAGGGACAGAAAGCTCTCAGATTTCATTAAAAAGATCTTAATTTGTGTTCCGAAGATAAACGAAAGACTTACGAGTTTGGGTACCAGGGTAAGTAATTAATGACAGAATTTTCACTTGTGGTTGAACTATTCCTTTAAATTGTCTTGTAACAGTAATGCCACTACAGTTTACCAGTGATGGGGTTGGTGAGTTTCAGATGGTTCTCGAGAAGTTTCATACAGGAAGCATCTAAAAACTCAAAAGCAGACAGGATCTCTCCCAGCATCCCTCTACAACACTGAAATGTTTCCAGTAATTGCTGAAAGCTAGAGCACCCTGCAAAACACATGAGGAACTGCAATAAGTTGATGTAGCCACACAGTAAAGGCCAGTTTAAACCAAGCATGATAACTATAAGATAACAGAAACAATAACTACATTAGATTAGATTCCACACCAATGTACAATTGTGTGTTATGTCGTCTACTGCACTAAATGCTCAAGTTCCTCTTTGTTGTAATATTGTAATAGTTGTGGTGTGTGGACTTCCCTATTCTCATGGAATTAGAATGATTATTAAAACTTTATAGTTATATTTATCATCCTTTTTGTGGTGAATGGCCCATAATATCTTTAACAAGATTAAATGTACTTTACATTTGATGTGTGATTTTACCTAAAAATGCTACATTGACAGCTTTAGGCTTGCGGGGGCACAGGATGGAAACAGCAGTAATGACCCCTAATGTCCCTTCTGAGCCAATAAAAAGCTGCTTGAGGTCATAACCAGTGTTGTCCTTGCGAAGTGCGCCCAGGCAGTTCAAAACACGCCCATCTGCCAAAACCTACACACGAAGGATAGGCAAGAATACAACTTAAAGCCATTTAGGGACTTTTGGATATCATATAAAAAGCTCCACGAATGTTAGAATGTATTCTTCTCAAACAGTGTCTACAATAATCATATGAGCCAGGAGTATATTTTTTATATTCTGTTTAGTCAGTGGAACACCATCTATTGACTTTCAAGGGTGACTTACAAGCAACAAAATAAGCTAAAATCAAGATACTTCTTATTGTAATTCACCCCTTCAACATCTGTTTTTTTTTCTTTGAAGAACTTGGATATACTGTATGAGATGGCCTAATTTATATATATTTTTTAATACAATTTCACAATTCCATGGCCATTTTACTATTTACTTTATGAATGTACAATGTGAATGAAAATTATGTCGTTATCAAGTATCAACTGGACAAGTTATGGAGGCTTGGAATATTGTTGTGGACAATGGGGGTCAGAGAGTCAAAAAGTTTGGAGTTGAGTTGGAAAACATCTCATGTTAGTGTTCATTTTTGTTAAGATGGAGGTGCTTACCACTTCCAGGCCCAGAACTGTCCCTCTAAGCGAGCCGTAACGCAGCAGTCTGAGACCTCCTGCATTAGTGGATACATTCCCTCCTATATGGCAGCTTCCCTTTGCCCCCAGATCCAGTGGCATGATGAAGTCTTTTTCTTCGAGATAGTGAGACAGGTTCTCTAACACACAGCCTGACTGACAAGTGAGGATACCTGAAAGCCAAATTAATCTCTTTTTAGGAAACGTATTAAGGTATAATGATTTTGATTTGTTTATTTATATGTAACTGTCCCTAATAACAGATGATACGGTACATGTAAAGTTATAATAGATATTGAGGTGATCTAGCAAGGACACCTGAGATGCCGTCAAACATCATGACTTGGTTCATTAGAGAAGTGGAGAGGATGATCTCATCAAATACAGGAACACTTCCTCCCACCAGACCTGTGTTCCCTCCCTGCGGACACACTGCCAGATTCCGATCATTACAGTACCTGCGGAAAAACAGAGGATGATTCAAGAAAACAAGTCTTGGAACAAAATACACAATACAAAATTCAATGTGATCATGGAAATCTGACCTAAGAATCTGAGAGACCTCTTCTGTTGTTTTGGGTCTCAGGAGTACTTCACTTTTACCTGCCAGAAAAAAAGAAAAAAAAAAAAACATGAACTCCATTTTTAAAATATGACTGCTCTTTAATATTTAATATTATGGCAACATTTAACAATATGGTTCATTAGTTAATGTATTAATAACCATGAGCAATACATTTGTTACTTTATTTGTTAATTTCTCTTAACATCAGTTAATAAAAAAATCAGCTGTTCATTGTTTGTGTTAACTCACAGTGCACTAATATTAACAAGATTTTAATAAAGTATTAGTAAATGTTGAAATTAACATTAACAAACATTAATAAGTGCAGTGCATTGTTCGTTCATGCTAACTGATGAAGTTAACTAATGTTAACTAATGAACCTTATTGTAAAGTGTTACCAATATTAAATCCTCAAACATTTTTTTTTTCTTCCTAAAACTACTGAAGATTGTTTTTGAATAATCTACATTAAGGCTGCAAAGGCACTAGATTGAGTTTGTGCGATATATCAATATATTTTTTACATAGCGATATATTATCAATAATATATCAATATATTTTTTCAACTGAAATCTTTTATATAATCTTTTACTCTAAAAGTAATTTCATTCCCAAAACTTTTGAACTATTCTTTAGGAAATGCAAATAGTAAGCAAAATTTGCAAAACACCTTGCACTGTCTTAAGCCAGTCTATATTGCTTGACTTCAGCAGGTCTGGATCAGTGATGGTTCTTCCAGGCAGGAGTGTTCGAAAGAAGGCAAGGTCTTTCTGCGTGACCCCGGAGAAGGGTAACCGTGGAGGAGCATCACCGGGGTTGGCTGGGCTCGCTCCCAACCCTCTGCTGTGCACACAGCGATGCTGAATCAGCTGGCTCGAGGACACTATCAGAGCTCTGTCAGAGGTCTCTCGGCCCACTGCAGTGACAGCAGAGCTGTACTGTGACCAAATGAATGTGGACTTCAGAGGAAGTCTTGCGAACCTAGGAAAAATCCCCATATCTGTAGTGGAGAGAGGATGACACAGTAATTACATTTTACAAGTTTTTAACCTAATTTGCCATTATTATGGACTCATTATTATGAGATAGCCAACATACTAACTTAAATCTTATTGCATAGGGATGTTAAGAAATAGATGATGGTTGAAATGAACCTACAAATCTATTACAGTGATCACAGAACACAGTCATGTTCCAAAACACAAAATATTCATTTAATCTGGCAATTGAAATTCTATAATGACACAGTCTCAAAACACAAACATCATTATTATATATTACATTCTGATACATCATTATTATATATGTCTGATACATTACATAGAGAGAGAGAGAGAGAGAGAGAGAGAGAGAGAGAGAGAGAGAGAGAGAGAGAGAGAGAGAGAGAGAGAGAGAGAGAGAGAGAGTACAACAGTTTGGTACAAGCTCATAACGACAAATTATTGTTGACCCAAACAGCAAAGAAATGCATGTCCCAAAAGTCCCATGGTTTATATTTGCACGAGTTAAACTAACGTTAAATGGTTGTTTTAACACACCTGATTTAAATATGCTAGTGCCCTGATCATTTATTTCATTAACATTCGCTACCGTGTTACAGACCATATTAGGTCGGAAACCTACTGTGTCCGAGGTGAAGGGAGTTTCAGCTGATTTCACATTATTTCACAAAGGTACTGAATCTTCTAACATTTTGTCTACAACTAAGGTCTGTACAAGTGTTGTGATTAAGTTCCTCGTGACCTTCGAGCTTTTCCAGCAGGATAACACGGTGAAACAGCGCGGTCTATCGGCCAGGAGTAATGGCCCTCAAGTACTAGAATTAGCGTTTGGTTCCTGTATAATACATGTACCTTTTCATTATTTATACAATATTATAAAAACAATAATTTCCTATAAGTTTTAATAGGCTCTACTTATTTATATTTATTTTCTGAAAGAAATCCTAAACACCCAAGACAGACATCGCTAATTTTATTAACAATTCACACAGAATTATGATACAGAAGTTGTATGTATAATTAGTATCTTTTTATATTTTATTAAATCTTTTACAAGCAGTACGATTTTAAACAATAAAGGTCATTATGAATACTCTACAAAAGCAAAAGTAGCAATCCCACATTGATGCTTGAGCAGCACATGATTTGGATCTCCAGATATCTAAAGCACAATGTTTCCTCATATCACGTTTGTATGACGTTCCACCTTTATTTGTGACATTGGTTTTATTTCCAAGTCATTCTGATTTAATATTAGCAGCAGTTAACATCCCAGCTGAATCAGTATACACAGATGAATCTCATGTTAGACTCTACTACTGTTATTAACTCGGAAAAGTTGAGGTCTACTGACGCTCAAGTCTAATGTCTACCGATTTAGAACATGACTTGAAGTCTGAAATGGGTCTGTTTGGTGGAGTTATTGCTCATGCCGGTCTTCAGCATCCACTTGGACTTCATCCTTTGTACATACTGCATGTCCTTCTGCTGCTGGCTCATGAAGCCCTTACCTGTAAAAGAAGGCATGTTTTAAACACTCAGTGGTGCAGAAATAAGTTAACTAGCAGTGGAAGACTGGTAGAACCACATGATCTTACAAAATCAAAATGTTGGATTACTCTACGTCTGGACCATTACTAAAATATTTAGCACAGTAACATGCAACTTACCGAAATCTCCTGCCCAACCGAGAGCTCTGTACTGTTTAAGGACTCGACCAACAGCCTTCTGGTTGTGTGCAGGAACCAGTGCCCTCTGAACACCAAACCTCTGCTTATAGTACCTCATTAGGGAGCGGTGCCCAATCTTAGCACCTGGAACACAAAGCAAAAACAGTTTGGTCCTATAATATGCAGTTTAAAGTATTCAGAGTTAAATGTTCACACTGTGAGAAACTGACTTTCAAGAGTGAAAGCCTGATGTACAATCAATTAGGTGTACATCTTCCAAACGGGACATTTTTTGCCCTGTCGCGTTCTTTTTTGCCAGCAGACTGTCGTCTGTTCTGCATGTATTTTAAATGTGTGATTCGAGATTTAGCAAGCTCCATGTCAACCTTTCTCGCTCGTTGTGACAGCTATCCTATGCCACACCATAGGGTTGTGCCGATAGACGATAGTATCGTGTATCGACGATAGTCTGAGATATCGCCGATGGCAGATGCCTTTGACGATATCAATACGATAATTGGCTCGTTTTACCATAATGTATTAAATTATTATTATTAGGCCTATTATTATTATAAAGCTAGTATTGTTATTAAATTAATATTAGGAACTACAATTAATTTGCCTTGCCTAAATTTACAATCATCCTCATAACAATTGCAACAACACCGACACCCACTAATGAGGACTCCTCAAAGAGAATGTTTTTAAAACAGACTAAAAAACATCCCACATCAAAATTTAATTGCAAGGTGATCCATTCACAAATTATCAAGTGTGCTCGTTTTAACAGACGCAAAATTCAATTTCCTACAGATCCAAGATGAAAACGGCATCGTTGTTCGTCAGTAATTTGTTTCCGTAACACATTAACAAAACGTTTAATGACACTAACACTAAAAACAATAAAATTACTAAATAGTATTTATAATAATATCACTAAAATAGTATTATATTACCGTTATCATCGTCGTCTCTGAGGGAACGCGGCGTTAATGCAGATGGCGAAAGCAGTACGTTTTTACTTTCACTTTCAGAGATTGAGCGCGTTTACATGCGACGACGTTCTTAACCTGATAATGTTGAATAAACTTGACAATGCATGTGGTCATGTAAACGTTTCCTTTATCAGAGTCAAGTCATAAGTATAAGTAAACCGATCGACTCAGCTAGACGTTTGGCCCTTGCTCTTGTTTCTCCCGGCATTTAAAACACATTAACCCGCGTACTTCGTGCTTACTGAAGTGCGCATGTGAAGTGCGCAGAGAGCGCACTGCTAGGGGGGCACATATCGCAAACTCCGACTTTTTCTGACCCAAGAAATTATTAAAACGTGTTTTCATCTCGTGCAGAAATAGGCCCTAGTCAAAATGCTGCATGTAACGGCATGAGGATAGGCTAATGTGTCCGTAAATTTCCCGTTGACAAACAAAAGGATTAGGATCTCTTTTTTTTTACCTCACTATACCAGGAAATAACCTGATCTTATTAATAAACACTCCACCTTTGCTAGCAAAATAGAAAAAAGATTATCGTATATAAATCGAAGTAGGCTAATAAAACAAGCAAATTAATGAGTAGGCTAAATAATCAAGTTAATAATCAAATGTTAGCCCCGCCCCCTCACGATACTATCGTGTATCGCCGATCTCACAGGCTGACGATAGGACGATATGAAAATGGAGCATATCGCCCAACACTAACTTGTAATATTCTTACAACAACTGTAAATACAGCTGTCAATCAGTACCTGATGGCAAAGTGAGCTCCAGCGTCTCGTCGTCAATATCTACAGTCTTTTCATCAGGCAGTTCACCATCCTTCATCTCCACATCATCTCCATCTTTAGCATCAGGATAACTGCTCCTGTCATTTTAGAAGGACAAGAATTATTACTTACATTAAAAATAAAATATTTTATTACTTCTAATGGGTCTGATGAAGTTTGTACTTAAAGCTAGAAACGCAGTAATGGTGGGGAACACTATTTCTATCTACATTACTAATTCAGAAGAGAATTATTTTTTACATATAAAAAGCCACAACATTTTTTATTCATTTTATACTTGTTGATACAATAACACAGAGTAATTTTTTTAGCAAAAAGAAAACCAATGTAGGGCGAGGACATGGCTCTATCTATTGTTTGTTTATTAAAAACTAAAATAACACTGTACCTAGAAGTAAATACATACAACTTCAAATGTTAAAAATGCAAAATCGCTAGCCAGACTTCCCGGGGCTATTGAGTTTTCCAGTCGGCCAACCAAAATGCATAAACCAGTCTGCTTTTTAAGAAAAAATATGACAAGTTTTTGATCATGCTGATTTATCCGCAGCACAATTTCTCATGAATCTCTGTCCCGGTTTTAAGAAAAAACACATGATCAATAAAAATGAATGCTCAACTTTCACAAGAATGCTACACTATCACTGTAAAGCTGTTTTGAAACAAAAAAATCTGTATTGTAAAAAGTGCTACATAAATAAAGGTGACTTGACAAACATATATTCTGCTATATAAACCACATTTAGAGCACCATTTACTTGCCTCAAAAAAGTCTGTTATTATTATCATCATTTATTGCTACACTTAAATATGTGAATTATCCCATCAGAAAATGAACACTTTTAGCATTGTCAGGCATTAAAACAACAGATAGCTGCGTGCTCTAATATGTCTGCTATAAATTTGACCAGCCAAAAGGTGACAGTGTTTTCAAAACTCCTGATGCTTACAATCTTCAGAGAAAAGTGTCAAAGCCTCATTATTTCTTTACATATTTCATATAATCTTTTTGTTTATAAGACATTTAGTTCCTGGATGTTTTCTGGAATAGGTTCAAGACACCTGAAACACGATTCACAAGAGGAGAAATCTGATGGAGACACCTCAACATCGAGTGGCATTTCCTCCTCTGTGCCTTCAGTTGATATCTCTGATTCAGACAGATTCATTTCCCATACTGTTCACACAAATTTTTTAATTCAGTTAGAATCAGATGCATATCTGTATTGGTGATTCTAATTTGATTATTTTTTATCCGGTTGTGGATGTGTGTTTTGAAAAAGTTTTTGATTGATGTTTTGACTCCCAACCAATTTCCAACTTTCAAAATTGTCATTTTATTTGGGCTAGTACAATTCATTTCGGGTTACCAAAATCTGAACAGTGCCAAAATTGTGTGAGCCCTGTATTAGAATATATAGAATTTAACACCAAGCAAGATGACTAAATACTGTAAAAACATTGTCCACTGTCATATTGTTACCATAGTTTGTTTAACCTCATAAAACAGATAGTTCACTGAAAAATTGTTGATTTACTCACACTAAGGCCATCCAAGATGTACTGGATGTCTTTTTTTCTTCAGTAGAACAGAACATTATTTACAACACTATTACCTGTAATCCACAGCCTCTGCAAACTGAGTACTTCCTGTCACATAATGACTTGTACACAGGAGCTCAATCTGTGAAAACTCTATCTTCCCGATTGAGATCGCACCAGCAAACGTAATCATAATTTTCTATATAGGTTACAGCATCCAGGATAAGCACAAGCGAACTTTGATGAACAATACAACACGCACATCTTGCCTCTGTTGTAAAAAAATCACAGCGTCAGCTCACAGGCGAATTTGCTCTCGCACATACTGTGTTAAAGGACAACTCCGGTGCAAAATGAACCTTTGGTCTAATTACACGTTGTTACCTAGTCAACCGTTATCTGAGATTTGTTTTCATGATTGCCGAATGTAAATAGTTTTATCTCTAAAAACAGTTTAGCCTATAACGCTAGTATAATGCTAGTATAATGCTAGTATACAGGGCATTGAGTAATGACAAATAAAAATCACTTGTTATTGCCACTAACAAGGCTCAAAATAGCCCCACACAAACACGACAGCATAACAAGGGTCCCTACATTCAAACCGAAGCATTGAGAACTTTGTCAGTGTCCATACAGTTTAATAAGAAGATATTTTATACACACAGTCAACTTTGCAAATACAGGAAGAAGCCATCTTAGAAAAATAGTCTCTACCAGTCGATCTACGAACGCGGATCCATGTGCGCTGGTGAGATGTAAATAAGGTGATAAAGTGAGCGCGAACAGTAGGCTACGTGTACATATTGAAGAGAAGAAAACGGTTCGTGTTTGTGTTTCTTCCAGAAACAACGGACCATATGAGATTCTGCACAGTTCAGCGCACTTGGATCGGCGTTCGTAGATCGACTGGTAGATACTATTTTTCTAAGATGGCTTCTTCCTGTATTCGCGAAGTTGACTGTGTGTATAAAATATCTTCTTATTAAACTGTATGGATACTGACAAAGTTCTCAATGCTTCGGTTTGAATGTAGGGACCCTCGTTATGCTGTCGTGGTGTGGGGCTATTTTGAGCCTTGTTAGTGGTAATAACAAGCGATTTTTATTTGTCATTACTCTATGCCCTATAGACTAGCATTATACTAGCGTTATAGGCTAAACTGTTTTTAGAGATAAAACTATTTACATTCGGCAATCATGAAAACAAATCTCAGATAACGGTTGACTAGGTAGCAATGTGTAATTAGACCAAAGGTTCATTTTGCGCCGGAGTTGTGCTTGAATGACTGTCGTTTGCTTTGAAAATATGAAAGTAATATAGTCCTTAAATGACTGCCCTAAATGCACTCAGGACTGTTTGCAGAGGCTGTGGATTATAGGTAATATAATGTTGTAAATAATGTTCTGTTTCTTGCACAAACTGATCATTTTGCCTCATAAGACCTCAATGAATCGTAGCGTAGGTGCCACAGGTATTAAATTTGATTTGCCTGTATATGTTTCTTTGACTCTCAATGTGAGGGTAGCCATTGACTTGCACCATGAATCAACAAAGACCACGGTTTCAGCTAAAAGCCCGATTTAAACTAAAAATCTTCGTTCTAATGAAGAAAAAAAAAGACACTTACATCTTGGATGGCCTGATGGTGAGTCTATTAACAGCAAATATACTTTTTTTCCATTTAACTGATTATTAGAAATCATGTAACATGAAATGTCAATTAGGGCTGTCAAACGATTAATCGCATCCAAAATAAAAGTTTGTGTTTACATAATATATGTGGGTGCACTGTGTATAATTATTTTGTGTGTATATATATATATATATATATATACACACACACACACATCCATGTATATTTTAAGAAAAAAATATTATTTATATGTAAAATATTTATATTTATATATAATATAAATTATATATAAATCTATATACAGTATATACATGAAAATATTTTTAAATATATACAAGCACGTGTGTGTATTTATATATATAAAATAATTATACACAGTGCACCCACATATATTATGTAAACACAAACTTTTATTTTGGATGTGATTAATCGTTTGACAGCCCTAATGTCAATCCAACAAAACATCTGGTCAGAGGATATTAACAGATGCCCATGTACCTGAAGTCGTAGAAGTCTGCGAACTCAAGCGCTGCGTCTCCGTCTGTGAAGAGTTTGCAGTGACTCTTGTCGGTCATGTGTGCCTGAACTGCTTCTGTAGAGTAGAATGACTTGCCCTTTTCATTACACCATAGGCACACCTTACCAACACCGACCTTCTCTCCTACAGAAAAATACACGGAGAAACACAACGATTAAATGGCAGAAACATTTTCAAAGACCAACTTCTAAAAACGGTTCATAACTTCAGGTCACTCTCTGGCTCACCCAGGTATAAAAGAAGCCCTCTAATGTCGACCAGATACTCAATATCTGGGAGGAAGAAGCTGTGTGTTTTGGTCATGTGAGCCATGTTTCGGGAGAGCGTGCGTGAATGATGTCCACAGAACAGACAGTCTGTCAATGGGACTGCACCAGGGGCCAGAGCTGCCCCAGATGTAGAGGCCTCCTCCATCTCCTCTTCATCCTCATCCTCATCATCATCATCCATATTCTCATCAACATCCTCCCATTCTTCAAAGAAAAACAAACACTCTTAACTAGCTAGCAGTTTCAAAGCAAAGCCAATCAAGTCACATTTACTTATATAGGGCTTCATACCATACATATTGTTTCAAAGCAGCTTCACATTATTAAACAGGACAATTACAGTTTTAATGTTGTCAAATTAATCTAGATTCAATTGAGTATGAATTTTGCAAAGTTCGTCAATTATGAAACATTCGATTTCAGCTATAAACCAGTTCTTCATAAAACAAGTCACTATTTTCAGCTCAGTTTTGTTCAATGCTGTTTTAATTCAGTTTAATGATTATTCAATTCTGTTCAATAACAAAAAGTTACATCTGATAGTGTCAGTGCAGTTAAATTGGTAATATTAGTGAATATGAACTGTCTTTAAAATTTCAACTGTACAAGAAAATAAACATAATAATGACAGCAATTTCTGTATCTGTGTGTTTTTTTTTTTTAAGAATTCTTACCTTCCTCCTCCTCTTCTTCTTCACCTTCCTCTTCTGTGATCTTCTTGGCCTGCTGTTCGAACCACTGCAGGCGAGGCGGTTTATCGGGCCGCTGCCTGACCCGTTTCTCTGTGGGTGTGGCTTTAGAGGGGGTGTGTCTCTGCTGCTCCATGAGTGCTTTCTGAAGCGCTTCATTCTGTGCATCTTTGTCTAGCCCCGCCCCTTTCTCCAGATTCTTCTCGTTCATTCGCTGGACAGTCTCCTGGGCGGCGGCCAGGGCTTTCCTCTCAGCCTGCTGGTGCTTGTTGGACTGAATATGATTGGTGTAGGCGTTGTCAGTGGAGAACTTTTTGTTGCAGGTGGCGCAGTAGGCCGATCCGTGTCCATCGCCCTGGCTCTGCTGCTCAGCGGCGGCCCGTTGTGCCAGCACTCGCACCTCAAAGTTTTCTGCGGTGACTGGAGGCATATCTGCAACCTTTCTCTTCAGATTGTAGCGGTGCCAGTCTGTTTTATAATGCGCCCGCTGGACCTCGCCATCAGAGAACTGCACACGACAGCTGATGCAAGTGTACGACATGACTGCAGAAAAATAGACAATTCTTTAAACCTCTGGTATTCTGAAATTTGGGGTCTCAATTGTGATCCTGGGCTTCAAAACTGAATGACGACAATAAGCATAACATTTAGTTTTTTTCAGTGAAATAAATGTACTGAGGGGGATTTAAGTTAAGTGTCTGTGTGTGTGTAGACTGCACAAGTGTCTACAATTTTGCACTCTGGATGAGAAGTGTTTTTGTACATGGAAACATTCAAAATATGATTAAAATTTCGTTTTGTCCAGGATAAATTATGCAATTAATAATATGTGTAGAATAAACACAAAAGAGCTGCATTATTGGTGTAACTTCGCTGCTGTTTACCCATCATCTACAGCAAAATATAACATTATTATTGGATTTTGAGGGTAGAGCGGTGCAGAATAACATTTATATTTTAAACAATTATTATAATTCAGTGCACTAGCTTAGTGTTTTCCATATACAAACTAAACCACTACAAACATACAAGAAATGGGGAATTGTATCTTGACATACTGTACATCTACAACTACCCACGGTCTGTTCGACAGACTCTTTTAAAGAAACATACGTAACGTTACACAACATCAAAAACTCACACGAGACATAAAGCACGACGTTATAACATATAAAATACTACAAGATTACGATTTAACCCAGTAAGTGTCATATCAGATGGCATCATGCGGACACGTTCATTATGCTCTAACAGTCTAGAGATCAACATAAGAGTGTACCAACCAAATCACTGAATCTCATAAAATTTGAGTATAACGTTCCTCATAACAAGAATATGTGGTGCATCTCCATAAAATAAATAAATTATAACTCTTTATCACAGCTCAGAAAGAGTGATCTTACTTGGTGTATTCGATCCTCAATAGTAGAAGTTTACAGCGTCACAGCACTAACACGAGGATGCTGAAACGAAACAACCTTTGAACCCGATCACAAGTGATCTCACAGACACAGCGCCACCTGCGGTGTGGAGGATGTTAGTTATTTATTATGATTTACTCTGCAACAGTTTGATGAAACAAAAATCTACTCACTTAATTTCAATGTGTTGGCCATTCGAATTTATAACTTTCTGTGATAGATTCAATGCAGAACAGGTTTAAGATTGAAAGTAGTTTTAAAAACTGACCCACATAGGGAATCCCATTTGTTGCTTTATCATACTGTAATTACATGTTAACAGCATGTAAATTTCAGCCTGATTAGTTTAGTTTCAGTTGTTTTTTAATGAACTTGTAACATGTGTCTGAAATCGAATACTTCTCTACTATATTCTATGTGAAAAACCAAGAGCCATAAGCCAAGAGTAGGCTTATGTCCGAATATAGTATTCACAGTAGGCCAAAAGTCAATGAAGACCTAATTCTTCCGAAGTGTGCAGTTGATGGAAACTTTATATCCCATGAGGCCATGAGAGAGTATTTATGAATGCTAGTGAAGCAACACAAAGCTATAGAAGACAACTTTTAGCCAAAAAGCGTAATGGCTAATGCTAAAGCTGCGGCTGTGTGTACACAGGAAAAGAGACTATATAGGCTGTGTTTTTTAATGGATATCAATGGAGAAGAGGCTTATTCACTGCTGAATAAACTGCTTTTGTTTATATTACATATTTTTATAATTTTGCAGATAGATAATGTTCAGGACACTTTGCTTAATAATTATCATTATTACATGAACTATCAGCGTCAGTTGGGTCGATTCACTGTCGTTTATAAAAGCTTTCCCGTGGCCTCATGGGATAATAAAAATGTGTCCATCGTATGCACACTTCAGAATCTCGACAAAATTAGACCAAATAACTTAAATTAAGTTATTCAGACATTCTTTCTCTGTCACACACTGTTCTTCTCCTACTATATAGCAGTGAAGTGTTATTTGGATGCAGCATTAGTCCTCAGTTTCAGTTGTTCACTTTCTGGTGCTGGCTGTGCTTTAGCACACTGTTACATTGCTTTCTCGCGTATGGCTCTTTTGTGGTTATAAAGCCTCATCTCATCTTCTTCCCCTGACCTGATACAACTCAATGGCACCTTTTCTGTGAATAAGCCAATACCACCAAGGATGAGCAATAAAAAGATCAGACATGGTTCATAATATCAATGCTACTTCTATTTAATTGTTGTAGGTGGACCATAAACAGTTTTAGAATTGGCCTATAGGCTAAGTATCATTTAAAAAGAAAAATGTATATATGTATAACTGTTTAAAGTAATGCTCTTTTTGAGTCACTGCGCAAAATGCCATGGCCTCTTACATGTTTACTGAAGGCTGAAGCTTAAAAGGTAGTTAAGGAGATAATAAATCATTGAAAACTTGTGAATATTGTGACCTTGTATAGCCGCTTTAAACATGATTTAGAGCTCATGGACGTCTGAGGACTGAATTCAAAGTCCTTTTTAATAATTAATTGGCATTGCAGTGTTTTTCCCATGTCTGACACTGGTAAATCTACATGGAGGCGACGTTTCAATCAACGCTTTCTTTTTCATGATGAGACTCATGTATAAACTGGGAGTTTAAATGTTTCTATACCTCAGGGACATCACAACCTTGGAGACTTAATAGCATTAATGCTGTTTGTATGACTTCTCGCTGGCACCGCTCAATTGAAATTAATTGCGGCCCAAGGGTCGCTGTTCCACCGTATTAATTAATATTCACACACTTTCCTAAGAGAAAAGCAGTGGTGATTTATAACGGCTATCCTCCTCTTCAGCCACACAGAGAGGGCACTTCCTGCAGGGAGATTGATGTTGGTGCCGTACATTCAGTTCTCAAGGGAAGAGAGAGAGAGAGAGAGAGATGAAACAAGAAACCTGTGACAGAACCAACCTCGCCAGCACAGCCTGTCCACATAACACACACCAAGACAATGTTTCTGCCCACAGAAGTCTGTGTGTATATATTAAAAAGTTTGGAAAATCTCTTATGCTCACCAAGGCATATTTATTTGATCAAAAATACAGTAATATTATTAGGCATTTTACTTTTTTTTTTCTTCTATTTTTATAGATTTAAAAGTTGAATTTATTCCCGTGACTGCAAATCTGAATTTGAAGGAATGGAGTTATTACTGCTCAAGAAACTTTACGGATTATTATCAATGCTGAAAACAGGATTCTTTGATGAATATAAAGTGACAATTGACCAATTTAATGCATCCTGGCTTAAAAATCAATCTAAATATGTCTCATTAAGTGTTTAATGTAATATATATATATATATACTGTATATATATTTCTTCAGCAAGGACGTATTAAATTGATCAAGATACAGATTATTTTATAAAGATATTTATTTTGCAGTAAATATTTCTTTATCAAATAAAAGCTGTTCTTTTGAACTTTCTAATCATCAGAATCCTCACTATTTCCACAAGATAGCACAACAGTTTTCAACATTGATATAATTGTTACTTGAGCAGCACATCAACATATTAGAATGATTTCTGAAGTATCATGTGACACTGAAGCCTGAAGTAATGATGCTGAAAATCATCACAGAAATACATTTGTATATATAAATAAATATATAAATATAATATAAAATATATTAATAATTATTATATTAATATATAATAATATAAATATATATTGTATAAATAAATTTCTCAATATTACCGTTTTACAGTATATTTGATTTTAAAAATGCCGATTTTGTGAGCATAGACTTTGAACGGTAGTGTGTAAGCAGGTGCAGTGAACAGAACACATAAAAAGAACACACATTTCAAAATAAATGGTTTTAATAAATTAAAAGCTGGGAGAGAAGGAAGTCTTGGTAAAAGGGGTTATGTTATTTTATTAGTCTTAAATTTGTATCTACAACGAAGGGACAAGCAAAAAAAAAAAAAAAAAAGCAACAACTCCATGAAAAAAAAGAAATCAGAGAGAGCAAAAAAATACATTATTGAAGCACTTTTTCCATCCTTTTTTTTTAATAAGCAACTTTTAAATCTAAAAGTAACTTTACAATATAAAGAAACATACAAAGAACATCTTAATTTACTACACAAGACAGAAAGAGTCCCTAAGACAAGGATCCAAACTACCCTAAACATGAAATACAAAGCAAACCCAGGAGACAGACTGCTTTATACTCAATACTGCTTTTCGTTTGCCAGAAAGAACAACGGTGGAGGTTTTTTTTTTCCTTTCCCACATCTGAAGCCCCTCCGCACCTCGTCTCTTCGCTAATGTTACAGTATCGTACAGCGTCACAATAGAATTACAGAGATGGCCAACGACGTGAGTGGTTTACATACAGAGGACTGGCCGAGGAGAAGAGAGACTGCAACCTAGAAAACACTATCTCAAGAGAACGGCAAGGACATTTCCCTCCGTTTTATTATTATTTTTTTTTAAATCCTCACCCTTTTTTTGTTCATTTTTTTAAAATTTAAATAGATAAAAATCCTTCATAGTAAAGTTTGCAATGCGTGGTCCCTTTTGCACATAAAGAGACAACTTCCTGTGTTCATGTATGTCCACATAGGCAATGTGTTAAAAGGTGGGCTGCTGTCTGGAAAGTGCAAAGTGAGGACACGTCCGAGAGAGAACGGATGCATCCTCCCGTGTGTCTGGTCTACGAGGAGCGAACGGTACTGGTTACTTTCCTAAAACACGAGCGCTCAGACGTCGTTTACTAAGTAGAGGCTGACAAAATCTTTACATTTGCATGATTTAGTACATCTGTACAGTGGGACAGAGTCAAGGACAGAGAATGGCGACTCTTTACATTTTTTTTTTTCCAACTACCCCCAAGATCTCGTAGTATTCATTGGTAGTGACTGAAATATCAAAACATGTCAATGATATCAAAATGCATTTTACAGTATTTACAAAGAAAGAAAGTAATAAAATAAGATAAACACTGTATAAATGTGTGTTTCTCGGTGTACATCGTGTCGTTGAGCTGTGGAAAACTAAAAAAAACGGTGCTTTATGAGTAATCTGTGTGTATGTGATCAGCAGGAGGATTTTAGCATTTAGCTCTGATATTTACCGGTTCCTTCTGACCCTTAATAACCACTTAACTGAGAACTCCAAAAACACATTTTGTTTAAAGGACACAACAGATATACCCAATGTAATAGACAAAACAGAGAGAGAGAGGGGGAGAAAAAGGCAGGCGGGCACATTTATCCCTCATTCAGTAGTCCCTGGATGTCATGTTACCTACCCTTCATTTCATTTCAAGTTTAGAAAAAGTCTGGATGTTGCTGACATCGCATGTTTTTGCACATTATATGCAGTGTAATCATAGACAGTAAAAAAAAGATGGATGACGTGGCTCCACTTTCTTCCACTGTAGAAAAATGAAGCCAAAATAGCTCAGAAATGGCCGTTCAATAGGTCAGGAGTGATCCAGGAGTGATCCTGAGAATGGGCCGCTCCCGTAGACTAAATCGCAAACTAAAACCAAACTTACTGGAAAATCAAACTCTTGAGCATACGTCATGCACGATGAGAACTACCTAAAATGACAGAACCCATCTTTGGGAAAATATTAATTGAAGTATAATTGGATTTTTTTTTTAGTTTGGCTCGCGTCCCGTTCGATACATGGAGAGGGCGGGGTTTAGGACCTATACCGCAGCCAACCACCAGGGGGCGATCAAAATGTTTTGGCTTCACTTTTCAGGGCGTGTGTGTCACTCTTGGGTGTAGTATAGGGCTCATAATTAACAAGATGTGTTTGAGGAGGAGGATTTTGTTCCACACCTGAAAAAGTATCCAGTATATTGAGCACCGAGCCCAGGGGGACCTCATTTGTGGTGAAATGTCATGTGACCTGTTCAGATTCATGCAAAAGGAAAGCATATGGGTCTCTGGCGAGGGACAGAAGGATACAAATCTTCAGGAGGTATCTTAGACTGGCATATTTACATGTGTACAATATGTCCTGACGGGTCGCATGCGAGACGTGTGCGCGATAAATCAACAAACAAAAACAACGAATAAATAAGGTGTGAATCACGGTGTCATGTGTTTGAGTCAAGTTTAGCAATGGTTACTAGTATAACTGCATGTTTTCGGCTCTGGTATGACATCACTTCCCCTCTACAGATAGTTTGAGACTCCAAAACGTGTGGTCAAGACACACATGCTGGTCTGAGAGGTTAAAGTCGCTGCTGGTTTGGGCCTCGCACCTCTTGGCCTCGGTCCTTCACTCAACAGGGACAGTGAAACCTGTATACTAGAGACGTAGAATAAAAGGTGCGCTACCTTTTTAATCTGCAGGAGGTAAGATTTCACAGCAAACACAAAACGTGGTGTAGACTTACTGCAAAAGTCACGACACGTTATTGTGCATTATGGATGTGTGCTTTTTCGGTCAAATTCATGGTTTACATACATACAATGTGCCCCTTTCAAAAAAAAAAAAAAGATTAAAACCTAATCAATAACCATCATTACAATATTAATAAAAATAAAATCAACAATTGATAATAATACAATACATACACAGAATAATGAAAACGCTCATTGCCGAATGAGTTTCCTCTTGCATTTACAAAATAAAATGGAGGAAAAAGGTGCAGATATTTTCCACAAAAAAAAAAAAGAGTCAAAAAAAGTGGAGTGAGTTCATAAAGATCATAAAGTATGCAGCCCAGTTAAGCTGCTCTCACACACACACGCGCGCGCGCACACACACACACACCTGCCTTCATATGTGTGTTGAGCCCCGTTAATGTCCTGAACCAGAGAGGAAGTCCGGGAGGCAGGGAGATTCAGTCAACAAGCTCTTCCTGTGGCTCTGGGGCTGTTTCCTGTTGCCGCTGGCCATTTTGCACAAGCTGGGATGGGCCACTTTCATGTGAGTCCTCTGCTCGTGGGGCATCCCAGAAGGCTGTGCAGAAAAAGCCAGAGTTCCATGGGCAGAGGGTGCCGGTGGTTGACCGACGTGAAGTGGGGACGGGGTTGAAAAGGAACGGGGCAGTCGAAGGGGGTTTGAAAACGAAACAAAAAAGAAAACCCCAAACAAAATGATAAACCAAGAAGAAATCACACACTCATCGTCATGTTGGGTGAATACTGGAAAGAGAGAAGGGGGGAGGGGGGAATATATCGGAGGTGAGATTATGAGAACTCCACACGGAGGAAATACAAGATGGTTATGACATCACAGTCCCAAAATACTATTATAATATTGTTGACAAAGCAGCAACCAAAAGGACAGAAAACTTGTCCGGGAAACTGCTGGTCTTTTATAACAAGAGCCATTTCCAGGACTCACTCTTGGACTGAATCAGTAACACTTACAAATCAAATAATTGTGTATCACTCTTTTCAATTTGCCACTGATTGGATATTCTGTTCTGTTCTGAGTAACATGGTCAGGATGTGAGGCCTTTCGAGTGCCTGCTGGGCGGAGGAGCTACACTAACATTCCAAAGTTTGGGGTCGGAGTGGTTTCCTATAATGATTTTGAAAGTCTCTTATCCTCACCAACATTTATTTGATCAAAAATACAGCAAAAACAAAAATATTGTGAAATGTTATTACAATTTAAAATAATCATTTTCTGTTTAAATATATTTTAAAATGTTTTTACTCCTGTGATGCAAAGTTGAAAATCATCATGGCATCATTACTCAAGTTTTTCATTATTCGTTATTTTCCTCGTCATTACTCGTCACATGATCCTTCAGAAATCATTCGTATGTGCTTATTTGATGCTCAATAAATATGTCTTATCATTATCAATGTTATATAATGTGGAAACCGTGATGTTTCTTTGATTAAAAAAAGAACAGAATTTATTTGAAAGAATTTTTTGTAACAATGTGAAAGTCTTTACTGTCACTTCTGATCACTTGCGTCTTTGCAAAATAAAAGTATTAATTTCTTTTTGACCCCAAATGTTTGAACAGTAGTGTATATGACTGGCAGGTGAGGGGAGTGGCAGGTCTTTGGGTTTGGGTCAGAATCTACTCACACTTTCACTTTGGAATGGGTTGAGGAAGTTTCCTCCCATTTCTCCGTCATCCCGCGGTGTGCCCGGTGGGTTGTTCATGCCTGCCATGTTGTTGGGGGAGTTCTGCAGCAAAAGAGATGTTTGACAAAGACAGTTGAGAATGAGGTGGAAAAAGCTTGCGGAAAAAAAATACTGACTGGCAAACTAAAACCTTCCTTACCTTTGGCAACCCATCCATGTCACCAGAGCCTGAAAAAAATAAACATAGTAAATGTTTATATTATTAAAAGGCCTTTTGTGGCCCATTTATCATATTTAGACGTTATTTAGATGCCGTGTAATAAAATAGTGCAGTCTGAATGCTTACCTAACGATCCGTTCATATGATGGGGTTCCATGCCACCCATGCCACCCATTGGTCCATCTGGACCGGGACCCATGGGGAACTGAAAAACACAATCACAATCAACCAACCCACATCCATTTCCCTGTGTCAATCATTGAATCCAAGATATAAACATTTTGAAAAGGATGAACATGTCCCCTTTGATTTCTCTGAAAGCATGCATGCATTTTATGAAAGCAATGATCATAACGTGACATTTATGTACAATTAGGAGCTCATTATTACAAATAAATCCCGACAGGTCTTAAATCAGACTAAAGGGATTTATTTTGAGATAACGACCAACTGGCATTATAAAGCTTATTACATGACTACTTAAGCAAATAAATAAATAATTGTACATAAAATTTTAATTTGAGTTCAAATAATATTATGTAAGAAGAAAGAGACCACAGAGTGTTATGAGCACAAGCTATTCAACATTATTGATCTGACTGTACTGACGCTGTTGTATGAGAACTGAACTGGACAATGACGTCATTTCTTGCTTTATAGATGAAATGAACTGAATTAATAATTGATGATAACTGAATCAACACTGAACTGACTTCAGCTACACAAATTTGAAACTATCTGTATTGCAAAAAGCGCTACATAAGTAAAGCTGAATTGACTAGATTAGCACAGCTCCCATATGAAGGTAATCAACCAGCAGCCAATTATACAGCTTAGCAGTCATGATGCCCAAATACCTGACCAACCAGAATCCAGTATTTCCTACTGCCGTATAATAAATCTATGCTATGTGGAGTGGATAAGTAGGTAGGCTACAATGTTTGACATCCTGCTAGCCACATATGATACAGTTGGCATTCGTTTTTACTGGTATTTTTTTTAGGCAGGGTGAACATATTCAGATGAAGACTTCATCATACAAATGGAACAGATGTCACTTTGTGTATAGCTGCAAACATTAGCAAATGGACCTTTGCTTTGATTATGAAGATATTCCTGTTTTTCACCTCCAATACGACAGCGTTGTTTACCCATCCACTCTTGAAAAAAAAAGATAGCTATCTGTACTTTTGTAGGCTTTCATTTTTTTGTGCGGTGAAAGGTAATGGATTCTCTATATAAGATATATGTAAATATCTCCAAACTCCAAGTCTGGTAGAAACTTTGCCAACTTCAAAACAATGAAAACAACAGCGGGTGTTGTGTATGGATCACACTTTCTGAATATGTTAATATTTTCTTGATATCTAATTTTAACATTCACTGACAGTCTAAAAAGTTAATTGATTGTAGTTTTGGAAATTTGCAAGGCTGCAATTCCCCTGGCTGGCCACTGTTTGTCGCCATTTTGTCAGATTGACTGCACATGACTGCAAATTGTGAATTTATCCTGGGTGAACATTATTCTTCAGATTTCTTTCAAAAACATTGAAACAATCGCATAATTGCTCTGGAAAATACATACATTGGGTCTGTTTCCTCCTGGTCCAATAGGGTTCATCATCGTGTAGATATTTTCACTGGAGTTTGTGGAGTCTAGAAAAGAAGAGAGCAGAAGGGCATTTAAGTTTGTTTCTAAGACCAGCACAACTTCTTCCAAATCAGAGACCAGATAGCCAATCCTTTAGCAGCACACTAGATCAATACAGAACATGGTTGGACTAGATTAATCACCATAATAAATGTGTTCCTTTAATGATTTATGGTTTGTGTGTAAGAAAGAGTGTGAAAGAAAAAGGGAGGGGGAGACACAGCTCAGACCCATAATCTGGGGTTCAACATCACAAACACAAGCGTTTGGAGTGGAATTACATTAACGTAGAGGGAGGGGTGGAGCTGATGTCACATGTTTGGTGCAGGTAACCTTGCAGTGATATTGGCTGCTGGATAGGAAGGGAGGGAGGGAGAGGGTGTTAAATAGGGTGTTTGTGAAGTGCTGAGCATCTTTCTTCCTGGAGAGACATGAACCGTTTCCGGCTGTGCCGATTATAGAGACGAGGTGAGAGCAAGTGTGTAGTGTGTGAATGACATACATAAGGGGGAGCGACAGAATAGATCTACTCTACCTCCTGGGCTTGGCATTATGGGAGTTCCTGGTGGACCACCTCCTCCCGGAGGACCCTGAGGGAGGAAACACACGCACAAACATGAGCCTAGCTTTTTTAGTGTGTAATACTATCAGAACTACCAGAGGAGCAGTTTTTAAACAAAGAAACACTAGGCACGGGGGAGCCATTAAGCCGCTTTGACTAATGTGCAGATATTTTATATTTAAGAGAGGCAATGCTAGGAGCAAAACTAAGCAGGATAGTAATTGCTCAAGTAAAATCAATACATTTAGAAACTTTAATATGTGCTTTGTTATGCTTTTAGTTTCCAAAGGGAAGCACTACATTCTGCAGGTTTTATTTATTTATTTATTTATTTATTTTTTCAGCTAAAGACAACAAAGGGAAAAGCAAAAGATCTCTGCAACATGCTCTCTGAGTGGTCAATATGGAAGTACATTCACAACTAATTGTATACTATTTTCCTACTGGAACATTGCTGGCACACACTTTTGAGACAGTGACGGAGACTTATTACGATTAATCGTATCTAACATAAAGGTATGTATACACGCGTGTACATATATATATATATATATATATATATATATATACTGTATATAGTAATTCTAAAATAAAATAAATTGTAAATGTGTGTGTCTATATATATATATATATATATATATAGACACACACATTTACAATTTATTTTATTTTAGAATTACTTTTATTGTAGGGGTGATTAATCGATTTCACGATGAATCGATTTACATCAACTAAAAAAGTTATTTTTTGATATTAAATATTACAAAGACAGCTTGTAAGTTGCTTCATTTTATGCAATAAAACAATTTATATATACTACAAAAAGTTCATTATGATTTCATGTTGACTAAAGTTTGGTACTCACCACGTAGTTGCCTGGAGACGAGGAGGAGTATGCTATCTGTCAACCCAAGCAAAAAAAATATGAATACAGTTTATTTTGATGAGAATAAAATATTAAACTCCAACACTTAATGGTAATACTATGATATATGAATATAATCTTTGGTACATATGGTCAATGCAGCAATAATGCATGTCACATCTTAGTCTGCAGCCACAAAGTTACATGCAGATCACAGCGCATGTATGAACTTACCGAGTTAGCATTGGGGTTTGGCCAGGGGCCACGTCCTCCAGGTCCCCTGTACAAAGGATAGAAAAACAGAACAGAGACAGAAAAAAGTTAACAAACACAGTTGAAAGGGATTATATAAATGACAACAGGGTATGATCTCATGTTGAAGTACTCACATGTTCATTCCGGGCATGCCTGGACCACCAAGAGAGTTTGGAGGAGGCCTCATACCACCATAGTTCTACAATGGGCATAGAAAAAAACACAACTTTTCAACATTCATTTTTATGGAACCATTAAAATCTGTGTGGATTGGAATCCAGTATTAACCTTCACCAGTGTGTGAAATAAATAAACACATAAATAAATAAATTGTATATAAAGAATAATTACATACAAATAAATGCATTAAAATACATAATTTAAATATATATATATATATATATATACACACACACACATATACACACAGACAATTATAATACTTAATTTATACCCAATATAAAATAAAGCTAATTAATACATGTTTAAATTAATACATTTATTTATCTGCTTACTACATTTATTTGTATATAATTATTATCATATATAAATATACAGAAATAATCATTATATTTAATCATTATTTTAAAAATTGTATTAAATTCAAATATTTAAAAAAAACATTTATTTTAATAAATGTATTTGTGTATAATTCTTATATAAACAATATAATATATTATTTATTTTACAAAATATATTTACTTATTTTTTACAAAATTATACAATTATATAGAAAAAAACATTTATTATACATTAATAAAAATAAATGTTTTTATTTTTAAATTGAATACAAATTACAATGAAATTAAAAATATATAATTGCAAGATCTTTTTCAATTCAGAGTACAAGGTCACAATTTGAGGGAATGTTTTTTTCCCCTTTAGCTGTGTGGTGCTGATTATTAATGGCACAGTGTAGGAATTACTGCCCGTCATCCACTGTTGTCCGTAGCGGTGGGGAACAAACCAAACAGGTTGGGAAGCGATTGATACTATGCTAACGAACTTCGGCTCAGGCAGACGGTGGCCCACCTGTCTGGCTGCCCGTGGGTGGAGGGCAAAATGTGACAGAGCCTTTTTGGGCCTGAGGCTGCTTCTTTCTAACCCGAGCCTTTGTTCTGCGCTCTACCCAATTTGTCGAACAGATGCTGCACCAGCTGCCGATTTGTGCAGCACCTCGCTTGCCAAGAACAAGAAGGACAGAGAGAGATAGAGAACCAAGGAGAACTCTGCTTTCAGCACAGGTGAGTAAGGAGGAGTAACAGGGTTCTTCTGACTGTCGAAGTCCTGTGGCGTTTGACTGGACTACTTGACGACTACCAGAGGATAAATGAGTAAAGAAAGCCAAACTATGTGCCTACCTGAGGGCCCATGCCACCCATCCCTCTGGGAGGATTCATTCTCATTGGACCGCCCATGTTAGGATGTCCTGGAAAATAATCAATTTATTTAGATTTAGAGTTATTACACAGGTGACATCATTCTTAAATCTGTATGTAAATGGATCTGTGGTAATGAAGTGTTGGAGTGGGAGCGAGTGGACCAAGATGCTACCTTGTGGTCTGGTTGGGTCCAAACTGTTTGGCAGGAGTGGTTGTGATCCTGGAACACCTACGGGAGGCTGAGGAGGAAAAATAATGAAGAAAAGTCATGGAAAGTTTTGCAGAAAGCATGCATCATGTTTACACTGGATGTGACCCATCTATACCCATCCATTACTACATTGGAACAGTGTGAAAAAGATCATTTCCTTCCACCTTTTACTCTCAAAGAAACGTTCAAAGGAAAAAAATACTTTAATAGCCTCTGAAAACTTTACACATGCTAGTATTGCTACAGTACATCGGTTACATTTTACATTACAACACCAAAGACCAGAAACATCACAAACTGGATTTGATGTATCAGTTAAAGTCATTCAAATGTATAATAAATAAAATGAATGTAAATAGAATCCAACAAAATCTATTATATATATATATTATATATATCTCTGCCAGACCGGAGATCTCTCCAATTGTTGAAAGTCTTTTTTTAATGTTGACTCTCATCTTATTCCGACGCCTGGCACAAAAGTTTTATTTTCTTTGTCTTCCATGGAGTTTGCGTTGGGGGTTTGGAATGCTAACTAAACAACAAGCTGGTCTCTTTCAATCCATCTTCTACTTTTGTTGAAAGTTGACTTAAGTTTTGTCGCGCGAGTCGTCTTCTCTGATACGGAGAATGGTGGTGAATACACAAACCTGACAGACATAGCCAGGTGTGCGTAAACGCGCATGACGTCATGCCCAGTCTTTAATTTCGTCCTGAATCCCTTTAATTTATTTTACTGTACAGACAAACACAGTGATCAGAGAAGGGCTCATTCAGCCCATCAGGCAATTGTTTAAGCAAATAGGTTAGAAAAACGGGTATTTTTAACATGAAATGTTGCGCAATGCACCTTTAAGTTTTTATTTTATTTTGTAATTAGTTTTTGTTATTTTTTATTTAGCTTTATTAATTTTAATTATTTTCTTTATTTCAGTTAGTTGCCAAAGGCTTTTTTTCTATTATTTATATTTTATTAAAAACTAAATTGTTTCAATTAATCGAAAACAATTTAATGGTTTTAGTTTCAGTTAACAATAGCAACACTATAAAAAACAAAAAATAATAATAATATTCAGGAAAAAAAAAAATCCTGCGATTTTTAAACGACCCATATCCTAAAATTTCCAGGTTTTTCTCTGATTGTGGTGAGCCTGAAGATGTGCGTAAAAATGGAAGAACCACTGCCCACGTGATGGTGTTTTCCGTACCTGATTTGGCATGCGAAGAGACGGCCGTGGTCCACCAGGGTACCGTGGAGACATAAAAGGCTAGAAGAAGAAGAAGAAAAGAAAAAAGGAGCCATTAGCAACATGTTGCCCTATTTAAAGAGAACGCGAGAGAATTGTACAGACCAGAATGAATGAGTGCAGCAGGCCAGGCTATAGCAGATGGAATGGACAGACAGATGCACGGAGAGCAGAAGCCAACGCAAGATGCCATCAAATATGTACATTTGACATCTCTCCTTCTGTCCGTCAACACAGACTGCTCCCATTCTGCCTTTTAAACGTGCACACACATACACTCTTGTGGTGTTTCGACAAACGCATAGTAAAGCATCGGCAGAGTCAGACCTCGAGCGGCTGCACTTAGACGCTTCTCAAGTGAAAGTCTGGTCAGGAAGGAAAGTGACCACAACAACCCAAACGAGGGCAGTATCGTGCCTGTGTCCTGACATACAAACCATTAGAGTCGTGTGGCTGCGCGTCTAGAGATGAAACCCGATGCCACTTCTGTGGTCAAGGCCTGTGGGAAGCTTCCCGAGAGACTCTCACCAACTTTTAGGGCTCTGTTGAAACATGTCGGCGCTCAACGGATGAGGGATAGGCTGTGTTTGTGTGCATGTGTTTTTACAGCTAATTGGAGTGATTTTACCATTGTAGGAAGATGTTGTACAACCATAGTGCTCTAATATGCAGTGTGTGTGTGTGGGGGGGGGGGGGGGTGTTTTTCCAGGAGCAAGGAAGTGGAAGTGTCTGATAAGTATAGGTTTCGCTCTGTTTTGTGGGTGTGAGCATGTGAGTGCAAATCCACGCGCAGTCCTTCTGGTTTCTGCGCAGTCAGTGTGCTTGTGTGTGTGTTTGTGAGGGCGCTGTGTGGCGGGAGGCTCTACAATATTAATGTGCTATTGATGGGGGATGGGGTGCGGCCCAGGAGTGGAGGCCCATCTCCAAGAACAAGGAGGAGACTGAATTATTTATCCTGTTCGCAGGGAGTCGACTCTATGGAGGGGGTGGGAGGTATACAGAGGATACTTCACACTCCCAATATAGAGAAACAGAGGGAGGAAGAAAGGAAAAAGAAAGAGAAGACAAAGGAGGAATGGACTTTAGGGTGTACGCCCAATGAAAATGGGATGTGAGGGATGTACAGTCTTAAACACTGCATCTTTTATTTTTATTGTCCACTTGTATCGTACACAACAGTACAACCTATTGAACCGTATTTCTATTCCTCACAGCCTTTCTTTCAGTGGTGAAAAAAAAAGAGAAAAAAAGAAGAGATCAGATTCAAAAGAACCATTTGTTCACAAATCAGACATCAAGACTTTCAGGGAATAACTTAATTGCTGTGTCTTTTTCTTAAACAAATATATTGTACAACTTGAGTCACTTTTGTCATACTTTTATGGTACTTGTTTGTTCTTTCTTTCTTAATGGTATAGCTTCCCCGAAATGAAAAATTATTCATAATTTCTCACCCTCAGTCACTCCAAACTCCGTAAGACTTTTTTTCATCTTCGGAACACAAAGGAAGATATTTTTCACAAAATCTGTGTAGTTCTGTACTCATATTTTGAGTAATCATACTAAAAGTTCATATTTTGAAGCGTGAAAGTGGTAGTTGCATAGCTGTCAACGAAACAGAAAGCTCTCTGATTACATCAAAAAGATTTGTGTTCTGAAGATGAATGGAAGTCTTAGTAAATTACAGTAATTAAAGACAGAACTTTCATTTTTGGGTGAACTATCCCTTTAAAAATGGTGTCAACCCTGACTAAAGTCCATACAGAGGACAAGAAGTACAATTCTGCAATGTTGGTTCAAAGAATGCGCGTCTGTGAATGTTTCCAAGAAGAGGACTTGGAAAAAAACTGAGAATTAAAAATAACCATGTAATTTACACCGTTCATCTTGCCCAAGCGAGTTGATGCCAGCATCGCCAACAGTTCTCATGTGTGCAAGTGTGACCGTGTGTATATCGAGGGTGCAAGCAAGGACACGATGTGTGTGTGTGTGTGTGAGAGGATTGCTGTGTGTCTTTCTTACCTGGCCGTGTGGTCCCATCATGGGGTTGCTGGTATTGTGTGGGGGAGGCTGTGCGTGTGGTGACGGCTGCGAGCCGGGAGGCCCCTTTAAGAGAGAAGAGGGAGATGAGAGATGCACAGACGGCCTTCCAGTGAGGCCTGCTGCTGCCGAAGCCCTCACACACACACACACACACACGACACAAACTCACTCACACTCATTCACTAGGCACTATACTGGTGGGAAACCCAAAGCTAGTGTGTAGACTTCAATGAAAAACAGCAGTTTATGAGAATCAAACAAGCAGTTATTCCATCAGAAAGTTCTCAAAACAAGGATTTTTTTAGACCCACATCAAATTTTGAAGAAAAAAACGTGTTTCAGATGTATAAGTGATGAGTGAGTCTTCAAATTCATATTTCAACATCAACCATACAACCTCAACAACAAATCAAGGCATCGTGGGACGTTAAACACTCAGCTCATGTTGATCCAAAGCGTTGAAAAGTGGATAAATATTTTCATATGACGGCTATAATGTAGAGTTTTGCACGAGCAAACACCACAAACACATATTCTTCGGAAAACATAACAATAGTTTCTAGACCAGCAGCATTCATGTACAGTATGTACAGACGAAATATTTCCGTGAAATGTCACATAAAACCATTAAACCCCTCAGTCACAGTCACTCTAAATCATTATTTCACAGAACATCCATTAGTGTTCATTAATGATCAACAGGCCATTGAGCTCGAGTCCAAAATGTTTCTGTAAGGAACATGAGACTTTGTGACTAATAACTAACACACAACAAAGGAGCATAGCTTCTATTCCTCTCTCCCCCTGAACAACAAGGGGCGAATGAGAAGCATATGGCATTATGGGGCCTGTGCACCTACATAAGGAGCGTTCAGCCAATCACAGTCGCTATGCAGTTCTGCCTCATTGGGGAAGGATCTCAAAAGAGCGATATATAAAAATCACTTCCGACACCTTTGAGAAGATAATAACCTGCCACTTACTGGCATGGCTATCAACAGAGAGCCCTTCAATCTCCATTCTCAGGCCCTAAAGGGGCAGTTAGTTTGACAGTATTCATATACTGTGAATGACGGCCGCAGGACAGCTGCAATAGCTCTTCTTGGCCACTCGGGGACAGTGTTAACAAAGCAAACCTTTCAGTGGTGTTCACGTAACTCACAGAACAACATGTATTTGTCTGAGCACCGAACTCTTCACTATTCGACTTAAAGATACACAGTAATAGGATATATATGATAATCATTTCAAGTAATACTGATGTCAACAGATCGGTTCTTAAGTTTAGCGACTAAATGAGGAAGAGAGTGGTTTCATTGGGTTTTTTTTTTAACTGTACAGTCTGTGTATGCGATTGTGAGTGACCCATACTTATTACCGCCTCTTGACCTTTGGCTAGTGCTCAGACCTCAGACAAGCCCTCCTGCTGGTTTCAGAGGGGCTGAGGAAACCATCCATCCAACACCACCGGAAATCTCGCTGATGACCAGAGCTACCACACACACACACACACACACACCACAGCCACAGAACAACACATCTGTCCAGGGTACAACACTGACCCACACATATCAATGAAAATAACACCACTGAATGAAACAGCACATTTAGATTCGGAGCTGTGGCTTAGCGGTTACTAGTATACATCCGATGATACACTAATATAAATGAAGGTTCTTTATTTGGCATCAATGGAACATCCTTGGAATCTTTCCACTGCTCACAAGGTTCTTTATAGTGGAAAAAAGATTTTTTAGATTATAAAATGTTATTATCATAAAAAAAATGGTTCTTTTAATAAGTGCTCAAATTGGTTTTTATATGGCATCCCTGGAAACTCTTTTGGAAATCTTTATTTTTAAGTGTACACAAATGCAGCTGGCCACATTTTTCAATACAGTTCCACAGTTGTATGAATAAAAGGTCCGAAACATATAAGACGAGCGACAACATTTATCTGTGACCAATTAATTTAGTTATACAAAGCAGGTCTTATAAAAGTATGCATGAAGTAAGGAGTTTTTGAGCTGGTTTTTGTGAGATTTACTTTCTGATTTAGCTGTGACCCGTCTCTGACCCCCCAGTGAGAGTGGATCGCTGCGGGGTCTGGCATGAGAGCTGCTCTACTGACTGTCCCAGAAACCATGGGCTGATACAACAGGAATACATGAGCATATGTGTGTTTTCCCTGGCCACCTGCCTTTTTCAGAGTGGGTTTGAGGGAAGGATTAGAGGGGTCTAGGGATGCTCAAAGCCTCTTTAACTCGTAGTAGCGCTGAGGTCACGACTGTTCATTACACCTCATCACACACAGCAGTGCTAGCGCTCACTCTGCCGCTCAATGCCTCAGCCTTTCTCTGCTAAACAATCTTGGTCCTTCAGTAACACCTGTTCACTTCTCTTCCTCTACATCACTTCCTAAATAATGTGTGCAGTATGTCGGCGATCCCACTGGCAAATATCTGAATTTTTTTTTTTCAATTTTCATAATCAGGTTTCAATAGTTAACTAATAATGAACTGCACTTCTACAGCATTTATTAATCTATAAATTAATTATTCATTTATTAAAGAAGGAACTAAAATGAATAAAGATTAACAAATGAATTGTTCATGGTTAGTTCATGTTAGTTAATACATTAACAAACGTTAACAAATTAAACCTTGTTGTAAAGTGTTACTATATTACCTTAATGTAAAATAACGATGCAGGTATGATTCAGGTCAGTTTACAAGGTATTCCAATTTTCTCTATGGTACATAACACAAAAGACATGACAAAAAAAAAATCACTTGTTTTTGTAAAAGTGATTTAAGTTATATATTATATTGGTTTGATGCTTAAATTGACCAGAAACGTATAAAATCCTAGTTTGTAGCAGTATTTTTATTTAATCAACACATACCATAGTAAAGATAATAATCATCACTAGTAAAAAGATGAATGAACCCAAACCCATACAGTCCTGTTCTCTCAATGATGCTTTAGAAACAGATCTCAGGAGCAGCACACACACACAAACACACGCGAGAACACCTCACACCTCTTCTCTCACTCCCTCAGCGCCGATCAGATATAAATAGCACTCCTCTGCTTCTCCGAAAATCTCCTCCACACCTCTCTGTTCCCTCCTTCTCCTCAAACCTTTCCCCTATATACTCTCCCAACCCTTTCCTCCCAATACAGCGGAGATTCCAGACAGCGGTGCAAATCGTCTCCTCCCTCGACTCTGCCTTATCACCAAAACTGCCAAATGCCAGGCCTGTCCATCACTGAACAAACGCTCCACCACCCCCACTGCATTATGGGAAGGTCTGTGGATGTGTACAAGCATGTTTGATTATGAGGAGATGTGTGTCCGTGCTTGTATGAGTGGTGTTACCCGAACACAATGTTTCACGTAAACAGACGGGAATAAACAGGAAAAAAGCTCTTTGATAAAATACATCCACATCTCCACTTCAGGACAAGTAATAGGATGTTCAGTATTTTATAACTAGCACCACCATTAATAGCGCTCCCAACGAGAATTAGGGATTTGAACAAACCACTAACTATTCTGGATGCACTAATATTTAAATACTGGTTATTGAAAATAAGTCACTAATTATTTTCATCTTATGGCCTATAGCTGACAAATAGGCAATATTACAATTCTATTTACAAGAATTCTTACAAATAAAACATCAAGTTTTAAATTCTACAGGTCAATGTAACAGTATAATGTGCAGGGTGAAAATAGATCTCTATTTTGAGATTTGCTAAAGATTACATTTAAGTGTTATTAAATATTAGTGTTTTTAGAGATTAACATTAGGTGAGAGTTTAGGTGATGCCAAATGTAATCTAAAATGTAAAAATAAAGGAAACGAGAAAGCATAATTAAATATTCAAAATCTTGTGGAATCTTGTTTCAATTTAATCTGATGCTTCAATGAAAAAGTATTTGACCAAAAAAAAGTGTATATACAAAATCAGCCAGTCAATTAAATAATAATAATAATAATAATAATAATAACATGGTACCAATATGTCATGCATCCCTAGTAAGTAACAATTAAAAATGTCTGCACTGTTTGTACTGCAGACACGAATGCTGACTCAAAACGAGTAACTTTTCTTCTGGTGGATGATAAAACGGGTAGAAAAAGAATCAGAGCATGAAGGAGGGAATATATCTAGAGAACATAATATCATAAAGACTTGGGTTTTGTTGACCTGAGTAACCACCTAGCAACTGTTAAAAACACTAAGAACCCCTTAGCAACTGCAAAAAAACACCATAGCATCATGGCAGCAATGTTTCATACACGAAAGAGACGTTTTTCTTACAAGACAAATCTACATCGCGCCCAACACGTTCATGAACACAACACGGCCTGCAGAATGGAATGAATAAAGCTGCGAGCAGATGGATGGAGGGATGATGAAGAAAGAGAAGGAAAGATCTTAGCAGGGAAGAACAAAACAACAAAATTTGTTAAAGAGGAAAAACTCATTCAGAAGCACATGAAAAGTGAGCATCCCATTAAGTCTCTCTCACACACTCACAGTTAAATGTTTTGTAACACACTTAATTGATCATCAGTCAGCAACTGTTCCCATCGATTCATTATCGGAGCCGTATTACAGAAACATCCTAACTCCAGATCTTAGCTGTTCAGTAACCATGGCGATTTCCATTTGGGATCTGAATGACTTGAGATAGGAAGAGTAATACAGCTCCAGAAATGCAACTACAGCTAATTTCCACTAACATTTAGTGCTCTAAACCTCCATCTTACCATTCGATGGTAGAGGACTTTTTTCCAGTGTGGAAAAAGGCAAAGTTGGGAATGATCTCATACTGATAGCAGAGCTCCAGGCTGCTGTCAAGCCACCCACAGCCACAGACAGACCCACCAGCAGCCCACGCGCACAGACAGAGAGAGAATGAAGGAATGAATGAATGAACGAATGGAGCGCAGGCGTGACAGGGTGATGAATGGAAAAGTAGGCAAGGAAGAGAATGAAACCAGCTGTGCTTACCTGAAAGAAACCAGGGGGCATGGGTCCGCCTGGCATGCCGTCGTTGGGGGGCATGTTGCCCATTACGGGGCTGGGGGCTGCTGCTGCACTCTGGGAAACAGAAAGAGGGAACAAGTTAGTATAGAGACATAGAATTAGTCAACCCTGATGCAATACTGTGATTGATGCTGATATCTGGGTAATTCGTGTTATGGAAAGTGCTGCACGATTCAGGATAAATTGAGATCGCAATTTCTTCCACGATTCTGAAAAGACAAGCGACAACTAAACAAAATAAATCGAGGTAAATTAATGTTAATTGCTGTAGTCTATTTAAAATGTTTTTTTGTTTGTTTGTTTGTTTGAATGTAGGATTCAATGACTTACTCATAAATACTTCACTTATTTCATTAATGGATAAACAAGCGTTTTTGAACAAATCTCTTGAATTAATGGTTCAACGACAAACATTTTTTAAGTCATCTGTCGCCACCAACTGGTGTAACATCATTTTTTGAAGATACTTTCAGAAGGATTTGCTCTATTTTGATCACGTTCATAGACATCGGTGTTTATCTCGATTCTTCCGTGATAATATGAATATTTCTAGCCAAAAAAACAACAATACTGGAGGGTTAAAAAGCCTGTTTGTGAAGCTGTTTCATACCTATACATGACAACTGCCCTCTCGGGCTAAGCGCCAATGCGAGCACAGATTTGAATGTTCATTCCCTTTTCGTCAAAAGTTAACAGACACAGGCAAATCGTTGTAATTTAGGAATGACATCGCCTGTGTGTCGGCTCCAACATGTCCCCATCGTCTTCATAATGTTTAAAAATATTAAATGCTTTAATCTTTTAGATTCTACCATTGTTTTATGGTAGGAGAAGAAATGAAACGTTTCTTCGGCCATCTCGATCTATAACCGTTTTACCAAACAAATGCTTTAATACCATGTTAAGCAGACAAAATACAACACAGACCACCACAAACAAACAATATAGGTAAAATTTGCTATGTTGGAGTTTGTCCAATTACTGAAAAAAAAGCTTTTAGCTGTCGCACAGAGCATAATTTGAGTATCAGTGTGTAGTTAATACACAAGTAAGATCACTCTCGGTTAACCCGCACATTCAACACGCAGTGTGTTGTTAACACGAGACATTTATTTGCATCAGAAAAACGCCTGCACTACAGCACAGCTCTTGTGTATCTGTGTACATACTTCCCCTTGTAAAGGGGGCATAAAACAAGCAAACAGAGCGAGAGGAGCCTCAAGTGGAATCTCCTGAGCTAGTGGAACACTTAGAGACTGGGGCCCCTTTCCTCCGCTGGCCCCGTTCCCTCTCTCAAACCTCTTTAACAGTCTGCTGCTGCTGGGGGCTTGTGTGTTTGCCAGTCTGCCTTGTTCCACCAGAGAGAGAGAGAGAGAGAGAGAGAGAGAAGACGAGGCACATTGTGTGTGTATGTGTGAGTGAAAACGAGAGAAAAAGAGACTAAACAAGGAGTGAAAGGGGGAAGATAAAGGAGAAAGTAGGAAAAGAGAAAGAGAGGGAGGATTAAAGAGCAAGAGCTGGCAGCCGGCTCACACACTCCCTCCCCCTGCTGTAACTCAAACCTCTCTACAGTCGTCGTACAAACAGCCACACCACCCCTGACCTCACACACACACAAACTCACACAGCCTCTCTCTCAAACACACAGAAACCTTGGGGTCAGTGGGCGGAGTTTATCGAGCATGACTCCTCCCATATACTCCAGAAGCACCCACAGACTAAGGCTGGATGCTATATTAAATACTAATGAGATAACATTAGGCAACATTGTGATGACTTCATTGTGCTTTTTATTTGTCAATTAAGTTAAGCTTTCCTAGACTTCTTTCACCATTCATCATTGTCGTACATCTTGCAAATATGACAGTGGCAAGACTGTGATGATGTCATATACCATAAACTTGAGAGTTGGTGAGTTCGATTCATTTTTATGAAGCATTTCAAATAATTTTAATTGTTGATTTACCGGTGAATGAATTGATTCCAAATTATGATTCAATCATGAAATATTTCAGTGCAGTGCACATGTCCCTGAAATATATTCAATATTTCAAATAATTATGCTGCTGGCGATATAAAATTAAGTTAAATTAAAATCATGATGATTTTAATATGCTTTTTATTAGGCCATTAAGTTTTATATATTAAGAAAGCGTCATTAGTTTCACAACTCATTCTTGTCTTGTTTCTCACAAGCATGACAGCATTCATTTAAACTGCAGTAGAAAAAGTGCCATTCGATTTGGCAAGATTGATTCATTTCTGTGAATTCGTTCCAACTGTCCTTTTCAATAAAATTAAAAACCGAATGAAATAATTCTCTCATTTGTTTGCATCAACACTCAAAATAACTTGAACCTTAAAATTTTATAACAAAATATCATAACTTGATCTTCTGGTGAAACTGCCAGAATTATCTCAGGTTATGTATACTAAGCTTTTCCAACCATTTACTCCACTTAAACCCATTCAGTCCTCACAGAAGTAAAGAGTTTTTCATATAACAAATGTAAAACAAATTTCATATTTATTTAATTATATATATATATTTTCAATTATATTCAAAAATGGAAATGATTAAATATTCTTCCTTGTGCTTGATAAAAAAAAACGTATGGTTAACAGGTCTTGATTATTTTTTGAAGCGTTTTTACTTAAAGGTGCAGTGTGTATTTTTTAGCGACATATAGCGTTCAGTTGCAAGTTTGCACTAAGGGCTCAGCCCACTGCTCACCCCTCCCTTTCGAAGAAGCTACGGTGACTAAAACGGGACAAACATATCGAACATATGGAGAAGAACCACATGAAACTATGCAACTAATTTTTTTTTTTTTAACAGGGTAATAACAGTTAAGCTGGCTAATATGAGCTGTTCCCGTGGATGAGCTGGTTAAAGCATAAAGCCTTGTTTAAACTTAAAGGGCACCTATTATGGAAAATTCACTTTTACATGGTGTTTGAACATAAATGTGTGTTGGCAGTGTGTGAGCAAAACCACCCTAGAACGATAAAAATCCATCCAGTAGTTTTTTTACAATCTCAATAAATCATATGCACTGCCTCAGAACGAGCTGTTCTGAGATTCAGCTCTTTGTGACGTAGAACAGGAGACAGGGGGTTGATTGACAGTGTGGCTGTGGCCTAGACCCCGCCCTCGGTGATCTGTACACACCATCCTTCATTGTTTCAACGACGACAGCCTGTAATGTCTCTTGGAAACGTAAATTTATGTTCTGTCGTGGACTCGTGGGTTAATCCTGTTGTTGTGGCTTAAAAGTTAATCCTCAAGTGTGGATCGTCGTCTACTGTTTGCGATTCACCGTCACCCCAGTAACAGTAAGTGTGTTTTATGATTTTTGAGCAAATAGTCTTTTCAGTCAATGTCAGCCAATTCAACAACAAATGCGTCTAAAGTTATTGCCGTCATAGGATGTCTGTGTATATAATTTAAACCTTGTTTGTATAGTGTGTAACCACACGTTTATAAATATATATATTTTTAAAGATATTGTATTAAAAACTGCATATATGTTGGTGTTCTGTAAGTTAGCCATCTTCTCACATTTGCCACAGAAGCACCTATGACAAGTAGCTAAACATGACGCCACAGGTCCCTCGCATAAATGTAATTTCGCTCGTACGTAGCAAACTTCATCACAGAATGTGTATGTAGTTTCAAAAAATTGCGCTAGTGTCTGTGTGTGTGTGTGTGTTGGACATCCATCATTTCAAATGGGACGCTATTACAACTCTAAAGTACATAAAAGTATCAAATAACCATACCGAGACGTACTGGTCCATTCTCATTTGTTTATTCTGCCGGAGTCTCTTCATACTATTTATATATTCCGATTCAAACGTACTCTGAATGACATTCAATATGGCGCGTCTCTTCACTCTCTCAGTACCGACTGCCTGCCATAGGTATCAAGTTACGCCCTCATCCAAAGGCAGGGCGGGGATATGCAGCTCATTTGCATTTAAGGTGGAATACCCCCTGAAACAGCTCATTTTTAAGCAGGCCCCAAAATGACATTTTCAAATGGTTATAATAAATTAACTGTGGGGTATTTTGAGCTGAAACTTCACAAATACATTCTGGGGACACCAGAGACCAATATTACATCTTGTAAAAAGGGGCATAATAGGTGCCCTTTAACACGTCTGCATGAGCCCAAAGGTGCGCGCGGCAAAAATGACATGATTGTAACATCGCGTGCGCCTCCGCTATCCCCTGGAAACCATTTCCTACACACAATAGGCTTTTTTCTCTGATCGTCAAAACTTCACGATCGACTTAAAATGCTTCCAAGAGCGACTTGTCGACCACGTTCGACGGGTTGGTGATACCTGTACTGTTTTACGGTCAATGACTAGAGTACTTATCAGCTGTCTCAGAAGTTTTTCGAGGATGTCACCACCCACTAAAGTCCCCATGAACCGGTAGTTGCAAACGACTTTTGATTAAAAGATTAAAAGACTACGTCTAGATGGCAAATACAACCCTTCTCCACTCTTCTAATTTACAAAACATTCGCCTTTACAAACTAATGTTTGCTGTAAATTTTTTTTTTTAAATAAAGAAAATGCAGTTCTTTATTTACCCTTGCACTACAAACAAGCAGAGACGGTCTTCAAAATGTGTTCATTCACGATTGAGGACGTTGGAGCTACTGTACTAGATTTTACCAATGCTTTGAGGATTCACTGGCCTTACAAGGTTTATCTAAGCTATTGTATAAAGTATAATACATTATTGTGTTATTTACCGGTGGTTTTTTTTTTTTTCAAATCAGACCGTTTTCGGAACAGTAATGTTTCAGAAGGAATTTTGAACAGAACAGAAACGTCAAAATACTGAACAGATTGATTTTTAAGCCCTGATGCAAACACAATCATGAGGCAGGAAGAAGGACTGAGATTGAGTTTGCTCAACCCTGTAAACACACACACACATTGTGATACTGGCGGCTGGTACCGATCCAATACTCAAGGGAGGTGAGTGTCTGTGAACAGGTTCTGGTTCCCAGTTTTGCCTGAGATCTTATAGAGCT